CAACGGCCAGCGACTATGGATAGATCTCCCCTATTTTATCGAGGACGTCCAGGCTTTCTGGACACAAGAATCGGTGTCTCTTGCCGCCTTAAAGCTTGAGAATTTAGCCACATGGACGGCAAAACTATGTGCATCCGGTGTCTTTGCGAACGAGCTGAGTTTCGTGGCGCTGTGGCTCTTCAAGCAGACTTTCGAGATATTCAGGCAATCGGATAAGTCGGAACCCGGCGGCAATGCTGAACAGATCTCAGTGATCGAGCTGTTACCTGCCTGTACGGCTTGGATGCAATTTAATAATTTTAAATTGGTGCAACTCGCGGTGGCCAATCGCGAATCTCAGTCTGCGAGCGAAAACCGTCTAGGGGCGTTAACACTGCCGGGTGAACTAGCCAAGAACGCGCAAATCCCGGCGAACGGGTTTAGCATCCCAAGGTGGATCTTTTGGAGGCAGCGACTGAAAGACCTCCACAAGGGTGGAGACGCACAGATGATGAAGATGACAAGATCCTGTTTCGAGGCAATGATATTGACGGGAATACACATCGGGGTTGCTGTGCCGGGAGAGAGGAGGTACCTGAATAATTTATTTCGGGTACTCGATGAGGAGCTGGCGTCACGAGAGGTGAAAGCTTCAATTGGCCCTGAAGATATTGCTATTGATATGAAGTGGGCCGAATCGGACGAAGAGAATGCTTAGTCCGGAAGAAAATAATTTCTCTCTTTGTGCCTGTGCTTTTATTATAATTTGCCCCCTTTATTTTCGTGGGCTAAGACGCAGAATGAAACAGCGCTTCCCTGGAAAATTGAAGTGCTCTTCAGCAGATGTTTCACTTTTCGTATTCGGATTTGCCCCGCTGGCTTTAATTAGCCCATCTTTGTAGGTGGGGGAAGGTGAGAAGGCGTAGTTTTTGATGAAAAGAGGAGGATAACGGACCGACGCAAGTAAAAGCATCATGATATTCATAATATAATCCGTATAGAAGCACTGGATTATAGATAACGCTGATCGAGAAGGATTATCTGGGGATGCCGATCGTTGTAAATGCCGATCGCTGATAATTCTGCAAGAATTGGCTGCAGCATTGACCGAACAGGATACAATACACGATCAGGGTAGAGATGACACCCGATTGTGGAGAAGGGTCATCTAGAAATATCTTTTTAAACCAAACAGGTTCATCAGAAATCCCCGGGATCTGGGGAAAGACAAGCATCAAGGCTGATTTGGTGTTTATTTCTGCAAATGCGTGATCATCGCCAGCCCAGAAGCTTGCTAAAGCTTGGCGGGATCCACCGAGAGGCGTCGCTCGAAAAGAAAGGTTGACGACGCTAGCGCCGAGGATTACGCATGCTCTGGCGCTATATTTAATCTCCCAGCGCTATATGGGGCGCCCACCGCGATTTGAGTGAATTCTGTCGGATTCTCACTTTTCTCTCTCTCTTGACAAAGTTGCATTTGATGCCTTTTGCGAATAATCATAACTGAAACGTCTTTTTTCCATCTCGGCTGGTTCCGTCCCTGCGTGTTGCCGATAATTCGGATAAATCGGTCCACTAGATAAGAAGTTCTCGACGCCGCTCTCTTTTCCGTCAAAAATGCGTCTACCAGGAGCCGGGCTCCTACTCAGGGGCCTCTGTCTTTCAGTCTTTTTGTTCAGCCCTGCAGAGGCCATCGATTTGGATATCAGCGATGAACGTATGTATAGTGCTTCTACGGTGATGTTGACTCTGGCTGACTCGCTTTCTACAAAACAGAATCGATCAAAGATGCCGCCAGCACAGCCGTATATGCTATGATGACCTACTATTCTGGTAATGAGACCGGTCAAATACCTGGCGCTTTCCCATCCAAATGGTGGGAGGGATCGGCGCTATTTCTTGCTCTCCTCCATTATTGGCATTATACCGGCGATACTACATATAACGACGAGCTACGCGTTGGTCTGGAGTGGCAATCTGGTGATGATGGAGACTACATGCCTACCAACTATAGTAGTTACTTGGTAAGTCCTCGCGAGGAAGAACGAGGCTATCGAGTCAGGGTTAATTGAAATATACAGGGAAATGACGATCAAATGTTTTGGGGGGTCGCTGCTATGACTGCCGCCGAATTGCAATTCGCTGATGTCTCCGACGGATTTTCTTGGTTATCTCTCGCCCAGGGAGTTTTCAACACACAGATTAAACGATGGGATACGACCAAGTGTTCGGGTGGAATGCGCTGGCAGATCTATCCCTACCAAAGCGGCTACACAATGAAGAATGCTATCTCAAACGGCGGATTATTTCAGCTGTCCGCTCGCCTGGCGCGTTATACAGGAGATGCAATATATTTGACATGGGCCAACAAAATCTGGGACTGGTCTGTGTCAGAAGATTCTTCGCCCTTGATCAACAATGCGACGTGGGATGTTGCCGATTCAACAAACATGGAGAATGATTGTACAACACGTGGAGACACCCAGTGGTCATACAACTATGGGGCCTACATGACAGGAGCCGCCTACCTTTACAATTATGTGAGTTTGATACAGCCAGGGAATTCTGCGAGATGTGTTGCTTATATCATATGCTCGCTATAGACCAACGGAAGTTCTTATTGGCTCGAAGCCGTCGATGGTCTCCTGAACAAGACATTGGACACGTTTATCCCTGACAGCAACGGCGGCATTTTTGAAGAAGTCACATGCGAGCCTACAGAAGTGTGCAATAACAATGAGATCCTTTTCAAGGGACTCGTCTCCTCCTGGCTGTCATTTACCGCTATGCTTGTTCCATCGACCTATAGCAGTATCGTCCCAAAGCTACAAACATCAGCCCAAGCCGCTGCTAAATCCTGTACGGGCCATAGCAACAGCACATGCGGTGTCCGTTGGTATCAATCCAAATATGATGGGTGGATCGGAATGGAGGAGCAAATCAGTGCGAGCGATATCTTTACGGCAAATTTGGTCAGCTTCAACGCGGTAGCGCCAGTTACTTCGACAACGGGAGGAAACAGCACCAGCAACCCAAATGCCGGAAATAACGACACAACATCAACCACTACGACGAGTACTACTATAACTACGAAAGATAAGGCCGGTGCCGGAATTTTGACTGTCCTTTTTGTTGTCGGGTGGGTCAGCCTCATCGGATGGACAGTTCTGGGTGGTTAATATGCATGGTTTTGATTGAACGGCGTTTTGGTGGAAATTGGCGAACTATTATCTTGGAAATGGCCAAGGGCATTGGGATTGGAATTTTGAATACCTATTGGCTTCAGGCCCCTCAACGGCAAGAGTCTTGGAATAGAAATGATTTATACAAGCTTCTAGAAAGCGTTTCTCGCATGCAACTGACATGCATCTGTAGGAATGATTTGCAGGATTATTACATGATCATACAATATCCAGTCCACATCGGACTTGATTCTCGACATTCGGCCAAGAGGGGTGTCTCCTTGTTAGAATTTACGCACTCAGACCAGCGACCAACTTGTCACCAAGCTTCTTAATGCTGTCCTCGAATGCATCACGGTCCCCAGCTTGCCATTTGGCATCGCTGCCAGGAACAGCGCCCTTTCCGGTAAATCCCAGATAAAGCACGTCCTCTTCGCCATGTCCATTATTACCGTTGATATTATCGTCGGGGAAGCACATCTGAGCCAGAGAGATGGATGCCTCGCCGGTAGAGTCCTCGCCATTGGTGTCACCCCAAATTCCATACAGCTGGCTCAAGTCATTAGGTTGGAGGATATTATAAACCCAGAGAGGGGACCAAACATACCACTTGATTGTTGCATACGACGGCCATGACACTCAGAGGCTCCATTCCGTATTGCTGAGGATCAAAATTGGTGTTTCCAAAGACCACATAGGGGTGGACGTTGGCATCTAGATCTTCAATACCATACTGGCTGACTTGGTCCTTGAAGGCTGTTTCTCCTTGCCCGGTCTCATCGGTCCCACAATCACCTCCCTTGTCATTCAGTCCATCGCAATCCACATCCATGTTGTCATATTCACCACCATTGGCCGAGCCGTGCAGGTAGATTGCCCCATCGATATCACCGCAGTACGAAAACGTGTGAGCGCCGTCAATACCATCAGAGAAGCCTCCTGCGAGCGTGTTGCTGCATTTGCCAGACTTTTTTGCACGTCAGTAAATTGTAATTAAACCATGTCGCTTCCATGAATACATGCCTTGTGATTGTCATAGATTGTCTTGAGGTTGTCCGGCAAGTCATATGCAGCAGCAAGACTGGCTGACAACAGGGTGGTGGCGGCGAGAATATGCATGATGATACTCGTGATATCGATACAGAGATGGGGCCTCCTTGGACATGCGGGCGACCTGGAGTATATATGCGAAGTGCCTCGCTGTACTAATCCCCATCAGGATTGTGGAGTTCTACGACTATGAAGCTTTCTGCAACTCAGGGTCTTGGATTCGACTAGAACTTAGCATTCGATCATTCGGCTCCAGTCAATAAAAGCCAATAATGACGAGAGCAGAAATCACGGGCGGTGATCATTGTGATTTTGGGGAAAGAGGTAGTATCAAGGGGTCAATCGTTTCGATTCTCCAAACGAGGCGCAGTGACCTTTACCTCTTTCATCGAGACCCTTAGTGGGTAAGGGTAAGGGTCAGGGTCTCGGCTTTCATTTCCAAAAGGCATTTTATGACCAATTCCCCAAAAAGGTAACGAATGGGGCGAAAAGGGGACCGCCATAATCTTACCGTAACATGAGTTTCAGAAGATCAGAGGCGGTTTCAGCTAGCGGGGCGTAATAGGACTTAGACTCGCATTCGGGTACGGGAAGTGGTGATGATCGACAGCCGAGGCAGGCCCACACAATTGCTATCGAGCTTGGAATCGTCCCCATTGCCTTAACTTACGATCATGATTATGATGATGATCGTGAGCGAAGTAACACAAGGAAACTGAGGAGCTTGCAGCTATCGAAATATGAAGTGGTAATTTTTGCTTTTTCTTCAGTGGAAATTTAATACTGCCCCTATTGTACATTTCCGCCATCCGTCTTTGCCGAAGAGAGTATTGATGTCAATTCCGACTGCAAAGTAACACCTTCAGCGAGAAGAGCGCCAATTTTGTCGGCTGTTTCCCTGGCGCCATTTTCGCCCACAAAAAAGAAATGATTTCCCGATATCTCCCGCGACATTCTTGACGGCGCTTCATGGAATAATGCTCTTAGCTTGTCCCACTTTTGAGTACCTTCAATATCTTTCAGATGTTTCTTTTCGAACATGGATTCCAATTTGTATGTCAGTAAGAATCCCCATGTGGCCTTATCAGTAAGAGAATGCCCCGAATCCAGCGAACTTGTTGGATATAATGCTGATGGGTAGGGGGTGTTCTCGATATCGAAGACCCGTGAATCCTCTTCGTGGGTGACTTCGTCTTGAACGAAAGAGCCCTGGCCGTCGTATTTGAGTCTGAGTCCAATGAGGTTGATTGGAGTTCCTCCGACATATTCTCTCAGATATATTTCACGAGGAATGATGCTCCTTTCATTGTTTGCCTTGTCCACGGCGTCCAGCTGTTTACAAAATGCCCCAATCCGTGAAGCGATATCGAAGTATCCCGCTGCACTACAGGTCATATCCTGGAGTGATCGGATACCGGAGATTCCAGGGGTAGCTGCGAGACTGATATATTGCTGAACATCGAGGCCTAGCTTCTTGCATGCAATGTTGAATTGGACAATCATTCTGCCACCCATACTCCATGAAACCAGCACCACGGAGCGAGTTGGGAGAGAATGACGGTCTATACAGCTCTGAGCGCTCAACGCCGCTTGACGTCCCCAATCCGCAATCCGGAATTCTGACCCTGTTGCCGGCATCACTGGTGGATTTGTATCGAGCGGGTAAGATAATGACAAGACTCCGAAGCCAGCTTTGTTCAGCCAGTGAGTTAAGAAGTCCTCTTTGCGATATTTGTGATGTCCACCGTAGAATATACGAGCCAGATGTACACCTCCTGGGATGCAAACGATCAAGGGTCTGGAATTTGTATCTTCGGCAGTTGGCGATTGATAGTGACAAATGGTCGGGAATCCCCCAATTGTCTCCAAGGTCTCACCCGGGTATAACCTAGGCTCGCCAGCATGATTTTCCTGTACCATCTTGTGGCTCTGTCTTGGAAAAACCACTTCGAATTGCCGGAGTATCTGAATATCCCGAGTGTTTGAAATGAAGTGGAGGAAGAATAAAAAATGCGGGACGGAATGAGGGGCTCTCGGCATTTCCCCGTCCAGCCCGACTCCACGCGGAACCGAGAGCCACAAAGCTGGAGAATACCGGTGCCTTAATTAATATCTACGGTTATGAATTATCTATAGCTCATTTAGTGCAATGAACTAATCGTTGTTGTGTATTTATGCCGGATCTCTCTTAACCCGAAGCATTTCGCCCAATTAAGCCTCATTGTAGAATAATTAACCAGGCAATGTCATGATCAGATGAGTCTCAAGGGAGAGTGGTTTAGATTTTATCAAATATGCTGATGATGAATTGGCCACTTTGATGGCCTATGTCCGGAAATTCTATCTATCCTTGCAACCAAATCAATTGGACCAGCTCTCAGGGGCGACAAGCGGGATCTTGCAGACTTTGATATGTAGCTTCAAGGATGCTTTAAGCACACATAGTGTATTAGCAACATTCCTATACAAAGGGTGTTGAAGATCATACTGAGCACATCTGATGCCGTGCATGAAGCAGCCAAACAATTCATGAGAACTTCAACGTAGTCGGCACTCGGGCAGGTACACTCGATATTCTCAAAACTGCCGCAATTTATTGCCGTGGCGGCTTCTTTGTTGCATTGGAGCTGTTCCGTGAGACATTAGACTGTTGTTCTTAATTTGGCTTTCACCTTGTCTTGGTTGGGATGTGCTAGTACAAACCAGACAAGGACTCATAGCCTGTGACCCATTACTGGGATCTTGAGCTACCGTGAACGGGAGAAGGGGAAGAAGAGATAACGCAAATGTCAACTTCATTTTGGAAAGACGAAAACTGCACAGGTCACGGTGAGACTACGATCTGAGAGCGGATAAGAAGCGTCAAGGTTAGAGTATTATTCAACAAAAACGGAAGAAGTACAGCGGCATTCTCACGTAGTTTATATATGCCGATGAGGAATTAATCGCACACAGCCCGTACAGCCAATTCCAAACTAAACTACGGTGACACCGTACTACAGATGACTGTACGTCCTGGAGAAATTGCCCTTCAGCCCCCGAGCTCGAGAATATTGAGGATGAATACGAGATGCGAGTAGTAAGCTGATTAATTTATGTGCGGGAAGATCAATTTGATATTGATAGGTAGCGATCGGAGGTACAGATCATAGCGATATAAAACCGAGGATAGATCAATGGCCTCTAGGACCGTAGGACAAGATTCCCGATCTCGGTGTTACGCTATGCACGAGATGTGATACCATACGTAGGGACTCATCAATCGGCATGGTTTCTCCAAATGCTGCAGAAGATTGCACACGGGTCTTTCGGAATTGTAGTTCTGTTTTGTAGCACTGGTATATAAATTGATGTTAGATATCTTGAAAGAGCTGACCCCCAGGCGAGAGACTGGCTTCGTATTCATCAGTATGCCCAGGTTGATTAGTCCCGATCGGCGTTGCATCTCGCTTGACTAAGAGTAAGTTATCTCGTTATAGAAAAGGCGACTTTTGAATTTCAAAAAGACTGGGATTCGAAACTATGTATCTGACGAATATTAACCCGGGTATGCGAGGAATGACCAGAGTTGCAACAATGCGATGCCATCAAGAGCACCCCAAAGGTAATAAAAGATATCCAAATTGACACTGTCGCCCGTCAAGAGGAATTTCTATCATCACGGTGTAATCAACTTATCTGTCTCATCTTATAGGACAACCTTGTTCATTGACGAGTGGACCGAAAAACTGCGGCGTAACTACAAAAGACAAACAGCCTTAAGAAATCGGAATCATTCAACCTAATAACTACGCCAGGTGCCCAAGGTAGGAATGTGGACTATGGCCACCTGCATACTCACAACTTACGAGCGTCTAAAGAAATGTTGGCGCCGTGGAAGGGTGTATGGTGTGGATTCACCGATTTGTTCATAAACTTCATGGTGGTACAATTGAAGAACGCGACGCTTGGTCCGCCCTACAACCTCGTTAGTCTAAGAAGAAGCTGTGTTAAGAGTTAGTCAGTCGGAGACTGCGTGCGAATAATAGGAGACAAGGAATGGAATGATGCGGTCCCATGCGATGTCAATGCGAGTACGCGCCAGGCTATACATGGCTCGGAAAGCTAGACCGGTTGGGAAACCTGAAAAAAAAGAGAGACCAGCTCTATGATTCCGGATTGGCGTCGGTGTGCGACGAGAGGCCCGGGGCATTGGATTCCTCCTGATTATCCTCATCGTCGTCGTCGTCATCGTCCACGTCTTCCCATTCAAGGTCGGCGTCACCCTCGCCCAGACCGGTGACTATGGCCTGCAGCTCTTCGTCGTCCTCGTCCTCGCCGTATTCATCGCCTAGCATGCTAAGGAGTTGCAAGAGTCCGGCTTGCGAGCGCCATATTTCGTCTGCGGGCGGGCGGTCCTGGCTATTGGGATCGAACAAGCCGTCTCCGTCGGTGGTGTTTGTTGGTGGTGTGTTCGAGGTCGACTTTGGTGTTGCACCGGGAAGATCCGGGGCCAGGCTGATGACGCGAATGGCTTTAGTTGGGAAGATGCGGGCGGGATTCTCATTTTGCTGCACATCACCGGGGATATTAGGCAAGGATTGTCGCCAGCCGAGGGTCTTTTGAATCATAGATTAGCAATGCGACACACAAGGGAGTGGGTGAGATGTGAGATTTCCAAAGGGCGGAGCATACCGTATAGGTGGTCATGATCGCATCGTCGCACAGCGTCATGAAGCTCACCGGGACTGCCAGTTGAGGGGCCGAACTGGTCAGCAATGAATAAGAAGCGCGCGATGGGGATTCAACATTTTGAATCCGATCGCGATCATCCAGTGCGACGATGTAAATGCGATCTTGTATCTCAAACATGACGCGATGATTCTGCACTGACAGCCAGCCACCTAGGTCGAAGCTTGATCCATCCGACTTGCATTCGATCACAGAGCTGTGTGCAACCAGACCTGCTGGATCACGAATGGCTTTACGCCAGTCGGAACAAACGAACACGCTGCCCGCCCGTGAGAAGCCAACAAAGAGGTCACCATCCAGCATCCCAGCCCCCCCATTCATTGACACCATCCCACATATGCTCGGAGGTCGGAATGGGCCCGGAGTTGAGTTTGAGGGGCACGAGGGAATCCTTTCGAGGGGCCCCGGGCGGGAATGGTCGATGTGCTGTTCCATATCGCGCGGCGCCGGCCAATGCTGCGGTCGCAGACGGCGAACTGGCGGCGGGTGGGAGAATGTGATATTTGTCGGTGCACTGCGATGGTTGGAGAGCCCCAAGGAAGTCACCACTCGTTTTGTCGTAGGCGTAGTAACCCTTTTGTCCGATGGAGTAAATGACGGCATCTTCGCTTTGATCGAGATGGCCGACCGCCTCCTTTTCGATGTTCAGGTGGGTTTTCATCGTGGGCGGGCGCTGTGTCATATCGTATACGAAGCCGTGTCCCTGGTTGGAGACCACACAGAGAGTCCAGTAAGATAATTGGAACCCTCTCGTCTGGCAATCATGATTCAAAATGGCAATCCGACGAAACTCCCCCCGTGTCGCACCGTCTTGATCGGTCTGCCAAACCTCGACGCCATCCCCTTCCCTATCAAATACCACCATACCATCTTGATATTCGAGATGTGCGTAGGGACGCACCGCATCGCCGTCGCTGTCGGTTGTGGAGGGGAGTCGCCAGAGGATGCGACCGGTGTCCATGTCGGTGACATTCAGCCCGCCAGCATGGGAGGAGGAGACGAAGAAACGGCGTTTGAAATCCGGTCGGAAGCGCCACACAGGATCATTGCCAATTTGCAAGACTGACTCCTGGCTCATGGGACGACGATCGGTCCAATTGCGAGCTAGAAGAGTTTGGCGTTTGCAAAGATCCTTCCATGATGTTGTCCCTTCAAACAAGCGAGAGAAGGAATGGGTATCGGATAGGAAGGATAGTTCACGAGGACGAGAGCATCCCGGTGGACGAAAAGTCTTGTATCCGGAGGTGTAGATAGCTTCTTGGTGGGTGTATTCGATGAACTGATGCCAGGCTTTGGAGGTGGCAGTGAGGGCGGCGAGGGCGGAGACTGGAGAGAATTCCAAGATACGCAGAACGATCTCCGGGGGAAAGGCAGCGAGGGGGTCTGCAGTAGAAGAAGTTTCGGCAGTCATATTCTGGGGGAGAGAGGGAGAGGGGGAGGAGAGCTGGAGGGAAAAGGAGGGGAGAGGTGAAGTTGAAGTTTGAAGTTGAAGGAAGTCGAAATGGCAGAATTATTTTGGCCGCGGGCATGCCGTCATTATTCACCGCCTTCTGAGGCTGAAGTATACGACGGAGGAGTATATTAGAGCAGAGGGCCACATGGCATACATGGGGTATATGGGATATCTGGGATATTCTATTATCATACAAAATGGTATAAAATATGACTACTTCATTGTAATGGTAATATTATACTGCACCAAATGCCCTGCGAGTCGACAAGACTTCTGCCACTGGAAATTCCCTGTTTCAACCAATATTTATATACCAAAAGGTGTGTCATTCCATAAACGCCTTTCAGCCTCAAGCTCCTCTTCATATTTATCTTCTGCAAAGGCATCACGGATGAGTTGCTCCAAGTGTTGGAAGCCAAGCTTAAGATTCGGAGTGATTCCGATATGCTGCGTGTGGAGATGCAATAAAAAGTCCAATTTTGCATCCTTTCTGTCATTTGCGGGAGTTGAAATGTCGATTTTGATCTTAGCTTCCTTCCGTCAATTCAATATAATGACGAGGAGCCCTGTGAAGCACCCGAGGCGGCTAGGGATCGTCAGATCCAACCTACTTAGGTATGAACTTTGTGTATTCATTTTCCACTACTCTGCAAGTAGCCCAGATGATACGAATTTTCCATGTCCATATAAATCGCGCTTAGCAGTCTCAGTAATCGTATTCAGGGTGTGATGTATGCCTGTTCCCCTTTTCATTCCGCTCCTGCTGTCGAGATTTTGCTTGGGCCTTGTTTGAAAGCTTATGCTGTCCCAAATGCCCTCCCAGTTCCTCGGGATTAGCGATATCCCGATGTTTTACGTCGATCAGGATTTTCCAGTATTGGGAGGGCCGATCTCCATGTTTGAAAACAGCGAGCCTTCGTGCCAACTCCTCGACAAACGCAACACTCCGGTGACGGCCCTCTTCGCAGCATATTGTCACAAAAATATCGACGTCGAAGTTTTCCACGGGAGCGTCTTCGCCAGATTCGGCGTTCTGGCTATGATACTCATCGACTATGCCCGGGTCTTGTTGAGTTTCACTTCCTAAGGTTGAGTGTATTAATTGGTCGTAAGCCTCTTCGATGGCAGCTTGAAGTTTCTCTTGGACCTCGAGCAAGAATGCTTCGACATTATCATTTCGAAGGAACTCCTTCTGAAGACGCCTAGATAGGCCGGTTGAATTCGTTCGAAGATTTCGAGGTGGATTGGGTAAGTGTCGAATATTGTAAGCCAAATCTTTGTGATACGGTGCTTCTTTTCGTTGTCTCACGATTGGCCCATTAGCGTGACCGTATGAAATCAGCGAAACTCGGATTGCTTTTGCCCGGGTTGACTGAGAGCCCGCAGTCGAGCTTTTATCGGACATATTGGCAAAACGAGGACTTCAAAGGCTAGAAGCAGAGACTAGGAATCATGTGAACCTGGCTGACTTTTGGCAACGGCTTGTCGAAGTGAGTCATGAGTATTGGCTGATGATGAGCAGAGTGCAGAAACATACATCTCAGTTGGTGAACAAGATCGATAAATCTGATCATTCACACTAAATTACGCTTTAAAAGTCTGCTCAAAAGAGTTATTTCCATGAATACAGAAAGACCGAAGGAGATTTCTCCAGATGACTTGGCTTTTGCTGTGAGTCAACAGTGCCCCGCGAGGGCTGAGTCATCATATAGCTACTTGTCGCTTACGGGCATGTCTTACCCCTAAATGTTCCAAATGAGACTTTTTTCACAGTCGACGATAATGCTCGATAGGCTGGTTTGAATACTCATATCTGTCTACGGACCAATGAGCGGAAGTGGTAAATGATGGCAATATGTACTAGTCTATCAGAGTGAGCCTAGATAGTTTACTTTTCTGTTTTGGACAGACTGCAAACTTGGCCAAGAAGTTAAATGTTGATTTGATATCTAGAAATTTCATCTTTCTCATAGTAACCTACGATCCGGAATCTGAAAAACCCCATGAACAAGAGAATTTTAAGGAAAAACAGAGCCACGAGACCCTGCGAAGACACATACATTACACACACAGTATCCCAGTGTTCCTTGGGGTATCGGCTTTGGAGAATGATGAAGATCACTCCGAGCGCCGTGTCAACCGACGAATATCAGACCAGCTAGGTATCAAAAAAAGCCCAATTTGGGCCACAAATAGCCAAACAGCGACCATGTCAGTCTCCGACTCGATGTGATTGCGCTGGACAATGAGTTCCGTCCAGAGAATCAACGGCCACCCGATTATGAGCATTGCAATTGCCCCCAGGGGGATGGCCGGATATTTGTGGAGATACCAGGGCATCCTTTTAACTTCCTCGGAGTCAATACTCCCAACAGTACTTAGATAGCCGGCAGCGAGGGCAGCGTTCAGGACGAGAAACGAGTCTCCGATCTGCCAGAGCAGAGTGAAGATATGCCATCCTTTGCTCAGAGTCCTCCACCCGAAGAAGAAGAATTGATATTCACCAAATCCCTCCGGCTGATTTGTTGCCCAGCTGACCCACGCAGAGACAGTATTGAGGATGAGCACCCCAACAGTGCCAAGCGAGAGGAATGCACTCAGAAAGATATTTCCCGATGAAACACCCCCCAGGTAACTGATCGCATAGATGAAGTTAAAGTGGATCGGCAAGAGTGAAAGTGCGTGGAGTTCCTTCGCCTGGACAGCTTGGTACCATTGAATTTGCGTGTACCAGTTATAGGCGAGAAATCCCACGTTGGTGGGGATGTTGCTCCCAACTCCGCCTGCAAATTGGGCAGGAGAAAGCATCATGCTCGCATAGAGGAGCCATCGGTTGGTAAGACTGAAGCCTTGGACGACTTGTGTGGTGGACATGTTTCTCTCTGACACTGATACCAGGCAGGATGTTATTGACGAACAAGCGGCATACTACTTCAGGTTGGTATGGAAAAGTTGAAGATACTAGAGCCAATAGAAGGAAGGCGTAGACTCGCGAGGGAGGGTCTATCCTCAACTATGAGCTACTTATCTTTCTTGCGCCGGCGTCCGACAGAAACAATATGTGAATGTGGTAAAGAGATTGAATCGATATACTTGATCTAGGCGAGTGCGACCTGGGTTTCTGTATTTATGTATCTTACATCTCTTGCACCCGGGCGCATTTCAAATGCATGGCGAGGCGGTGCAATGAGGCTAAAAGAGGCGATGGGTAGATCGTTACTAGTATGAGTCTAACTTTCCGCGAGAAAAGCCTCGGGATAAGCTGATAATACGAGGCTCAGCCCCACTGGATTCGCTTAGCTGCATGGGAATCATCACGATCCGACGATCCTATTGGTCTAGTACGCTGCATGAGGCAACAAGGGCTTGTTGAAGACAATGCCCATCGAATCAAACATGGTCCGCATATATGAAGCATATCGTTAGTTATTTCCCAAGAATTTCATCAGACCCTGAAGGAATCCACGACCTGCACCGTGCGTTTCAATATCCAGGACATCGAGTGATTTGCTAGCTCTAGGTCAGTCACGTCGGCTTCAGTCACATTGCTGAACTCATTTTTATCACCACCCATCGCTTATTTCAATAAGTACTAGTAGTCCATCCAAACTCCCGATCACCGTTGATGTCGTCTGAGAATTCTGATCTCAGGCCGGGGACCCTCTAGCTTATGCAGTTCTGTTCTGACCTTGATGACACTCGAAACAGGGCCTCAATTTATGCTGACACAGGCGCTGAGGTTGCCAAGGAACAGCCGAGGATGGTAAGACTCGGAATGCAATGGCACTAGTCTACTTTTGTCTGCACTTCTGAGGCAGCATCATTGCTTGCAGTCCGAGGTTAATAAGCTTAATCCTCGCCAAAACATACTATTAGGCATGATCGGCACCAAGATGCCAATACCGGATGTCATTTCTGTCGGCTTTCACTAGGCCTCTCTGATCCTTCAGTAAGATCCCACACTGGAAGCCCTCTTCGTACAGATGAGGGTCTTCCAACTAAGGTTACAGTATATCCGCATCCCATATGTGGACGCTTCTGCAGTTATTGATATGGGGATTCCACGCCGAAGAAAATGTCATGAGACATCCCGGTGAAAAGGGATGTTTCCGAGTGCGCAATAGGCTAGGTTGGTTATTTTAAACCTGAGACGGAATATGGGTGGACTTGGCTTCATCGAGTCATCGCAACAATGGAGCACCTACCAGCACCTTCCAGCACCATCACTTCGAACGAGTGTCACTGATAGTGGAAACGGTCCATGCAAAGATGGATTGATTTTGATCAGAAGGCAAACAACATACCTATAAGGTAGAAGATACAAATGCTTTTGAATAGTAAATTTGAAAACAATTGTGCAATTGTTCTAATGCTCCCTGTTGTTGAGGCGCAGTTGCCTCAGGCACCGCAGATCGTTTTTCCCGCTGTCGCCTCGCTCTCTCATATCTTTAGTCAACCCTCGCACTTGGGCATAGATCACCACTTTTTCGAAATTAAGCTTTCGTCACTATAATCGACTATCATTTCCTAGGGATATTCTGCTTACCGGAAGCCAGGCCAACCCCGGCGGTCAAAGGCATACTTTCGAAGTCGGATCGGAATAAGCCCTCTATTCCGAGATGGTGCTGTGGGCCAGGTCACTATTCCGGTAGGGGACTATACCCCGGATCCTGCATGCCAAGAAACCTCCATCAATACTATTTATTATTTCGATTCTGGGGCCCCAGATTATAAAGACATGTACAAAGCTGTTTTTTGAGAGTTGAGGTTCTTCCAGCGTCACTAAAAGCTCGAATCTAACCTTTTGATTCTTTTCCAGATTTCCATTTCGGAAATGGCCAAAAGATCCTGGAATTTTCGAGGACAAGCCTTGTCTTTCGCCCAAATCCTCACAGTTGTTTGCCCCGCGTATGTCCTCTTTGGATACAATCAATCTGGACTTGGAAGCCTCACATCATTATCCGACTGGGTGAAACACTTTCCTGAAATCGACACTGCCAATACCACTGGGGCCCAGAAAAGCCACAATGCAACGATCCAAGGAGTTGTTATTGCGACTTTCACATTGGGTGCATTACCAGGTTGTCTATCCTGCTCATACACCGCAGACAAATTCGGTCGACGCCCGGTCATATTCATGGGTGGACTTCTGGCTTTGATCGGCCAAGTATTGGAAGCATCCGCTTTCCAACTGGCCCAGCTGATTATTGGTCGAACGATTGTCGGGGTTGGTATTGGCATGCTGAGTGGCACGGTTCCAACTTGGCAAAGTGAATGCTCAAGCTCAAAAATCGTGGAAAACATGTTGTGTTGGATGGGCTTTTCATTGCCCTTGGATACATGTTGCAAGCTTGGATCAACCTTGGCTTTTACCAGTACAAAATCGGCCCCGTGACCTGGCGCGCTCCTACCGCAATCCCTATTGCATTTGAGGTTCTCCTGATGGTTTCCATCATTTTCTTGCCTGAGTCTCCTCGGTGGCTAGCTCAACAAGGTCGCGTCGAAGAGGCAAGGGCATCGCTTGCTTCTTTCAGACACGCCAATGAAGATGCGGCCGCGATCACAGCAGAGCTTGCAGCCATCGAAAGCTCTCTTGAGGAGACAGCCCATAGCGCTTCATCCCTCAAAGACCTGCTCACAATGGGAGAAGAACGCCTGCTATATCGTTTCGGCATATGCATCTTGTTGCAGTTCTTCCAACAAATGTCTGGTGGCAATCTTATATCAGTATATTCCACAACGATATTTGATTCAGGATTGTCTCTTGATGCACAAACATCCCGCCTTCTCTCCGGTGGTGTTCTAACTTGGAAGTTTTTATCCTGCTTTGTCTCCTTCTTCACGATTGACAGGTTTGGCCGTCGATTTGCACTGATTGTGAGCGGCACCGGCATGGCTACCTGTATGCTAGGTCTAGGAGTGGCAACCTCCTTTCCTAACTCAAACTATACCGCCCAAATATTCAGTGTTCTTTTCGTTTTTCTTTTCAACTTTTTCATTCCAATCGGATTCTTAGGGGCAAATTTCCTTTACTGCACGGAGGTTGCTCCCACTCGGCTTCGTGTTGCTATGTCCAGTATATCGACTGCAAATCACTGGCTTTGGTATGTATACATTCTCTTTACTCTGTTACTCGAAGCTAATTAGGCCAAGGAACTTTGTGGTTACTATGATAACACCTGTCGCAATTGATACTATCGGATACAAGTACTATATTGTTTTTACTTGCATTGGATTCTGTATCCCTCTATCCATTCATTTCCTATATCCGGAGGTGAGTAGCGAGAAAAAATAACTACAATCACGGACTAACATCCTCTAGACCATGGGACGTACACTTGAAGATATCGATTTAATATTCCGAGAAAGTCCATCTATTTGGGCCACTGTTAGCTATGCCAAGCAGAACTCCGGGAATGATCTGCTCGGTACTGAAGATGAAAAAGAAGGATGCGGTCACGAGGAAAAAATTGAAACAGCTATGAACGACCGTGTCAGTGATTGAAGATCATAAGGAAGCAGCACATTTCTATACGAATCCAGGGTCCCTGAAATCGATTCATCTACTAAACCCAGAGCTAGCATCGAGAACTTGAATTTGAATCGAAGTGCGTCCGCATCAAATACCTAGGTACATTTCGTCTCTTTCTTGTACAGGTATTTGCGAGTTTGGCTGGTGCTGATATTCTTTCATCGGTTGTATATTACCGGGCAATTCAATTTTCTCTTTAAATATGACTGACCTCCAAAAGTACCAATTACGCGAAGAAATCGTGGCTTTTCAGGCTAATGACACTCATAATTTTTACGGTCGCATTTTGACGGGCGCTAGATCAAATTCTTCGTCTAAAAAGCGCTCTCTCTTGTTTAAATACTAGAGTCAATTTTAGATTTGATCTCCACAGCTGAAAAAAGACTTGGACTTATATGTACCTGTATCTTCATCACTCTGGTCAACATGTTTATGGTAGTAGTACCTAGGTTAATGTTATTACGGGGCATTATGGAAAGGCAGGATCGTTTAGGACCCAGAGAGCCGCAACAGAATTGGTTATACATTCAAATTGGGTCGAATTGGATACTGCACATCTGAGCCAAATTGGCCTGGACCTAGAACCTCGCCAAAAAAATATCTACGACGCCACTAAGCGTTAGTGGGGATTCACCTCCCCCACACCCCCCACCATCACGTGTCGGTCGGGCTTGCAGAAAACAGGTTTTCTCGCCCAACGACAGCTGCTCAAATCTTTACTGATTCTCCAATTTCGAGAAGGAAAGATGGCATGCAGAGGGTCGCGAACGACCTTTTTTCCTAAAGTGGACGGGGCTATCTTGAGACCGAAATATCCGCCTCCGTCTTCTTATCCTGAGATCGTTGGTCCAACATACGATCTGCAAAATGTCGATCATCCCATCAAAGCATGGTCTACAGATCTCCACAATGAGCTATTCCCCGAGTCGGCAGCTTATGAATCTTCCATAATCCCGGAGAAGCCACTTTGCCTCAGCGACCGATACTTACGCGCATCACTCGCAGAAAATGAAAGACTCCGACTTTCTGTTCTTTGGTACTATACGCGCGACATTCTGATGGAACATGAGTTTCTCTCTGGCCTTCAAGAGAAGGCGAATCTTGCACAAGAATCCACGGGATGGGATTACGCGGTCATTGGTATTCTTGATATCAACGTCTATATACGATTGGCCACCGTAGGACTCGAACTCGGCATCCTTCCACGCGGCGAAACGCTATGCGCCCACACAGTCACCCAACCCCTTAATGTAGGTGTTGAAGTGAAACCCAACAGTGGATAGTTGGAAGTTGCTGAACGTCTTTCCAGAAAGTATTTCTTCTACCAAGTCTTATGGAGGACTGGAGATTCCGGAATTGTCCCTACCGTGAGAGTGGGGGACTGGAGGCCTACGCCGGTGTACCTCTCCGCATACAAACAGAGTCCGGTGAATGTGTCTGTCTTGGATCACTCTGTGTGGCGTCAAATAAGAGCGAGAAACCTTTGACAAAGGTGCAGCACCAGGCGCTTGTACACCTGGCAGACTGGGTAGTCTCTGACCTTGTTCAATGTGTGAGAGCGAAACGCCAACGAGAACGACATCGAATGAGCGAACTAGTTTCCGATGCCCGGAGGAAAGGACATGACCAGGGCTCTACTGAACCAGTCATGGACATATTGAAATCTGTATACACGAACGCCATCGTTCGCCTCCATCCTTCAAGAACAGCTCATGTTGAGTTTGATGGGGGCCATTCAGTCTCAGTACATGACCTTCAAGAAGGCCTGTGGGAGGACGTCGAATATCTTGACAGTCTTATTGATAAATTCAATCACCTGGAGCTTCCATGCAGTCGACCAGTCCGAATTCTTGCATCTCCATGTGAAAGTATATCGGGACCCTCTTTACTTGTTGTGGCATCCAAAGACTTCCATATTGTGTTTGACGATGTCGATTTATCGTTTATTCAAGGATGTGCCGAACTTATTTCACAAATACGGCGCAATCGATTATTGGAAGAGGCAATGAAAGCAAAGGAGAAATTACTGCGAGCATTTTCGCATCAACTCCGAACCCCAATCCACGGTATTCTTGGCTCTGTGGAACTTCTGACCGAGGAACTCGTGGTGCAAAATTCAAGAAAGAGTCTTTCCCCAAGTCCTGCATCTGAGCAAAAATTATCAGCGGTCGATTGTCTGGGGCCTTTTACTTATCTCAACATGATCAAGATGGCGGGTCGAGACTTGACTTCGGTCATCAACAATTTGATCTCTCTTAACAAGTGGTCTGATATCGCCATGGTAGAACGGCAGTATTCTATGTATACGTTCAACGATCTCGAGACTGAGCTGGAAAATGCGGTGAACAAACTGACTTCAGGAGATTCTCGGTGTACGGCCTCGGTCTTCTTCACCCATAACCTTTCACAAAGCCATGTTACCTTCAACACCGATCTTATGGTTCTCCGAGATACCTTACTTCCACTGGTTATCAACGCAGTTCAGAACACCCCCGCAGGTGTTGTATCAGTTATGGCATCCGCAGATACGGAAAAGAGACAGCTAATCATTGATATTGAAGACACCGGCCATGGAATTCACCATGACCACCAAAAACGCATCTTCGAAGTGTACGAGAAAGTTGATCTGCATTCGACAGGCGCTGGACTGGGTCTTACACTGGCGTCCAAATTCGCATTGCTTATCAATGGCTCAATCGACCTCATCTCATCAGAAGTCGGCCGCGGCTCCCTTTTCAGAGCGACATTTCAGGAGCTTGAGTGGGGGTCTCTAGCTTGCCCTACAAACTTTGACAACCTGCCCCGGAAGTTTTACAAAATGAAATTTGGATCTGATGATACTATACCAATTGATCATTTCGCATCATTTCTTATCCGGAATGGATTCACTCGGTCAGAGAGCATTCAAGGCTCTTTAGTCATCTTCGAAGCTGCCTCAGACAATGACGATCACCGAGCGCGTATTGCACAAATTCCTGCTGGGCAAGTCGCTATTTGCCTTGTTCCAAAAGAGCAGGATCGAAATACTCTTGGCCGGACAGAGAGTAATGTTATATACTTAGGTGGTCATTTCATGACGTCGAAGCTCCTTTCAGCTCTCGCGCAAGCAGAGGCGCAGACACGTATCGCAAACAGAGTTCGCCAACCACGTTCACCAAAAGTGCTTGCGAGTGATAAAGCTATATCCAGAACCCCTAACCTGGAGCTTGAATGCGCAGACAAGAACAACGATCCCTATACGTCTACTTCTGGGGAACCCAATGATCAATGTCACCAAATCACTGTTTCACAAGGATGGCAGAAACAGGTTTCACCTCCTCTAGAATTGATAAAGGAAACTCCGTTCCTTCGGAGTTCCTCTCGGCCACTTGTTTTAATCGTTGATGATAATGCCGTCAATGTTCGGGTTATGGAGACATACTGTCAAAAGCGGGGATTGCCATTTGTTTCAGCAGTCGACGGGCTACAGGCGGTTCAAACTTTTTCTCGTCAGCAGAGTGATCACACTACGAGCGAGGATTCTGCTGTTCAGCTGATATTTATGGATCTTCAAATGCCTGTTTGTGGGGGGATCGAAGCGACTCGCCAGATAAGGTCGCTCGAACTGCGAAACAATTGGAAAAAGAGCTGCCTTTTTGTTATGACTGGTCAAGATAGCTCAGCAGACAGAAGGGCCGCGGAGGAAGTTGGGGCTGATGAATATTTTGTAAAACCAGTCTTGCTCAAAGAACTTGACCTTGTGGTAAGTCGGCATTTTCCAAGTTTTAGCATTAGCTAGATTGAGCCATCATGCAAAATCATCATGTGATGCGATTCTCTATTTCTTCAAACTATAGAGTTGTAAGAACATTGGATATTTCCCTCACAACTTTCAAGGCACCAGGTGTCCTTGGCCGTATCCCTGGATATAGCATTCACGAGAAGGGCGGCGCCATGGGAGCGCTGCCTCTACTATCCAGGCTCTGGATATATATGAAACGGCGTCGAATAAACTTCACAGAGTATGATTTTTACATGGGGACACGAATCGATGTCATTTTTTTGTCACAGAAAAACGGGCCAAACTTCTTCACTCCAAAAGTCTTCGGGGGAATTCTACGTCGGTACTCGTAGATGCGGGATACCTGCCTGAGTTATCTCCGAGCCGAGGATGGAGATCGACAGAACCCCACATTTACATCCGAACACTTTGCCCCTTTGGTACTAGTAAGAGTCGCGTCGTGGAAACGTGGAGTCGATTGGGAAAATACTGCATTATACACATAGCTATCGCTCCTCTCTAAGGAGGAAGGTTAAAGGGGAGATCGTTGGTCGGTGGCCGCGTACCATTATTCATCCCCTGGAAAGTCGATTGCCGACTAATGGATTCGCTGACTTTAAAAGCAGTGCTCATCGTCGACGTGAGATACAGCGCTAATTACCTTTCTCTCACTAATATTTAGAGTCCTTCGTTTTACATTCGGTCATTTCACCTTCTTTTTTTACCCTGTCGGCCTTTATCTAGACTCACCATGAAGCTACTCTCCGCCCTGGCCAGTGTGGTGGCTTGCGGCTCATCCCTCGCTTTTGCCTTGAGCCCCCCAGTCATCGATACTCATTATGGTACAATCCATGGTAGCCTCTCTCCTTTCCGTGGCGGTGATAAGGCTTTCGTTTACAAGGGGATCCCGTATGCCCAGCCACCCACCGGCGCCAACCGTTGGACGCATGTCGGTGGCCCAAGCTACTGGGGAAAGCTAAATGCTACTGAATTTGGCCCGCAATGTGCCCAAACCATCAGCGATGCCGGTATCTTCTCCAGTGGCAAGAACTCAACTAGTGAGGATTGCCTATACCTCAACATCTGGACTCCTGCATACGAGAACCAGACGGACATGGGCTCAAAAAAGCTACCCGTTTTTTTCTGGATTTACGGTGGACGTTTCACGGGTGGCTCAGGTGATGTCAAGACATACGACGGTACTGGCTTCGCGCAGAAAGACATCATCGTGGTTACTATTAACTACCGTCTCGGACCTTTTGGATATCTCGCCCATCCTGAATTAAGTGCCGAATCAGGCACTAACAGCTCTGGCAATTATGGTATTTTGGATCAACAAGCTGCTCTTCACTGGGTAAATGAGAATATTGCCAAGTTCGGCGGCGACCCTGATCAGATTACTGTTGGTGGCCAGTCCGCTGGCTCAGCCAGTGCCCTCGACGCTATGTGGAGCCCCTTGACCAAAGGCCTCGCAGCAGGAATAATCGCCGAGAGTGGTGCCCGTGGTCCCCATGATCCAATGACTGGTACTGTGGCAACCTCTTACAGAACCAAGAAAGCCGCAGAGGCACAAGGAGGTAAGTAGAAAGGAGATACCAAGGGATAGACGGGGTCATTCCAATGCTGATATTTGAGAAAGTCCGATTCTTGAAGACCATGGGAGTCGCCTCGATAGCTGAGCTCCGGAATGCCTCTATGGACAGCCTTCTCGTCTATGATGGAATTTCAGACACCATCTGGGACGGTACTCCCTTTGAGAACTTTACCGCTGCATTCATGGAGCCACCTATGTGGCGTCCCAACATTGATGGCTACGTCTTCCCGGATACCTACTTTGAGGCTTTGCGCAATAACTCCCATGCCGATATTCCTATCTTGACCGGAAACAATGCAGACGAGTCTGGTGCTACCCCGACCCTGGCCTACTCAGCTTCGAGGTACCACGCTCTCTTCAGTGAGCTTTTGGGTGACCTTTCCGATGAATTCTTCTCTCTGTACCCGGGTCAGAATAGATCACAGGCAGCGGAAAGCGGCAAAGAATTCTGGAGAGACCTTTCTCGAGTTGGAACCTGGCGCTGGGCTCTTGACTGGGCCGCTGGTGGCGCCAATGCATCTGTATACACTTACTACTTCAACCACTGGCCGTAAGTTGGCCTTCGTCGAGTCTGAGATTAAATATGATGTGGGTCTCCTGACTAAAGATTCTATAGGGCGGAAGACAAATCCGAGGGTGCTTATCATGGAAGTGAGCTTTGGTATACGTGAGTCACTTGCTTCGATTAATTATGCCCTGGATGAACAGCAACTAATTCATGCATAACGCAGCTTCAACAACTTGCCGTACAGCTCATACTCTAATGTAACCTGGGAAAGTGAGGACTATGAAATTGAGACGAAGATGGCCAACTATTGGGCCAACTTTATCCGCAATGGCAACCCCAACGGCGACGGCCAGCCTCACTGGAGGGCCTCTAGAAAGGAGGCGCAGACAATGTGGCTGGGAGACCAGTGGAAGATGGGCCCCATCACAAATGACAATAAGCGCATTCAGTTCCTGCACAAGTGGACTTCCACCTTGCCTGCATGGTAATTGTATTTCCCATCTTTCTCTGTGTGTCGTCTCGCTCTTGACCAACATCCAATGTTTTATTTGCTTCGATTTCAAATTTCAATATATTTTTTACATTTAACAACCCTACATTCAACAAACCTTGTAATTCTGCATGAAAAATTTATATAGACAATAGAAATTCCTGTTCTTTTTCTCTTTCCCTCTCTGACATCCCTCGATCTTTATCCCGCAACATCTATTCCCTCGCCAATCGAATGTTGCGTATTTAAAATTTTGATTTCAAGGCAATTTTGAGTCCATCAAATTACACCTCATATGACTACTGATGATGTACGGTATGCCTTGACATTTTGAAGAGGACATTTTAGTCTGCCAGTCCCACGCATGTACTCTGTATACGGTAGTTGCTTTCCACGGAGCCTCACCGAGGTGTGTTGCAGGGTACGGAGCAATTGTCTGGACTCCAGTCACTTGATAAAAGCAAGTTTCTGAGCATGATACTTGGCGACGCATACCGTTGACGACGCGTACATACAAAAACCCCGAAGATCAAGGGATAGTTTTTCGTGGCCTACACCAGCAATTTGTGCCAGACGTGGCGATCGCTTCCTTTAGTGGCATCCTAGCCCGAGCCGAAAATATGCCGATCTTATCCATTCTTATCCAGCCCGAATTCGCGGTGAATCGTTTACCTGCTTTCTTTTGATTCGAATGTCAGGCTGGACCAGATTCATTGGAATATTAAATTGGACAATAAGGTAATTTGAATGGAATCAAATTCCTATGTTTCTAGCTTTTGTTTGATCTTTGTCGTTGGAGAAAAGAATGTATGTTGTAGAATTCAACTCTTATTCCCTGTATCTAGTAACTCAAGCCTAAAGCCGACCAGAACCACATTTTCTGGCAATGAACCACTGATGGATTGTCGATCCTTTCATGCCCCTGACGTGTTCTAGAAACTGGGCGTTTGAATCAATGTGGGTAAAATACGGAGTACTTGAGGCTTCAATCGCTTCACTACCCCGTACGTCGTACGTGAACTTCCATACTTTGGGCTGGTCCAGTTCATCATCGCTGGCCAGTCAAATTCGTGTTAATGTTTCTTCAAAATTATAGCTAGCTTTAGATACGGGCAATTGCTGGGTCACTTGTGTCATCTAAATGATATTAATTTGCTGCCTAAAATAATGATGCCTCCTATCTGAATACGATCATTAGATAACCATTGCCATCCGGAAGGGCCAGATCACTAGCTAGATACGCCCTTAAAACCATTCCATATCCATTTTTAGGACAAGGTCTGATTTGGGGTCCTTTTTGACAAAATTGAGTCGACTGATACTATGTAGACATCTTTGCTGACGCGGAAAGCCCGAAGAGTCCACATTCGGAACCACGGATGTTGATCCCAATATGTGGTTCCCGGCAGGCAAGTACCGTGACGTTTCATTGAAGTATCCTCCTTCAAGCGAGAAAACCCCCAAGAGGAGTCCGAAATCATTTGATGGGTGATTGGTCGAGTGGATCATGCTGGGCCTCGGAACGTGGCTTAGAAAGTGTAAAGGCGAAAAACTATAAAGCCTAGAAGTGAAACCTTGCCTCTTGCATTATTGATGATGATAACAATTTTTGTTCGTCCAACGAGCGTTTAAAATGCGCCTAAGTTTTGCTTCTATTCTCGGGTTGGTAATCGCACCTGCGTTAGCAGGCTGCCCATATGCCCGGAGCCCGAGTTTGGACAACAACAAGAGCCCTCACGTCAATGCGCCTCGCAATGTTGACTCAACTTCCTCAAGCTCACCCCCTGCGTCTGCCACACCAGCAGTTGGAAAAAAGGGCGTTTTCTATAGTAAGTACCGGGCTCTCAACAATCACGTAGCCTCCGAGGGGAACACGTTCTCACCTTAACAGTGAACCGCATTGGGCCCTCGGGATCACAGCTATGGATTTCCAACGCAGATGGAACCAATGCCACAAGGCTAATGGGCAACAACACGGATGCCTTTGATTACCATCCTACCTGGTCGGCAAACGGAAAGTGGATCGTTTTCACTAGCGAACGACGTGGAGCAGGTCAGTCGGACTTGTACCGTGTGCATCCTGATGGAACAGGTCTTGAAATGCTTGCCGGCACGGACAGTGTGGAGGATTCCGGTACATTGTCGCCAGATGGGAATAATTTGGCATATGTTTCCACATATGGAAACTATACGACAAATATCTGGGTCAAAGACCTCCAGACCGGTATCGCGCGCAATCTCACCGACACCCCGGCCAACCGGGCTGACAATACCTGGCCTACTGGCCACTATCGGCCTTCATGGTCTCCTGACGGAAATTGGATTGCGTTTAGCTCGGATAGAAACAACGACTGGACTGGTCACAGTGAAGGGTATGTTCTCATAAACACCATTTGCGTTGATTAATAGCCTTTAATAATTCTACCTAGAGTTGGTTGGGAACACACACAGAATCTTGGCATCTATATTGTTCGCCCGGATGGCTCAGGGTTCCGCAAGATTCTACATAAGGACGGCTTTTCCTTCGGCACTCCCCAATGGTCTCCTGATGGCAAGCGCCTCATCTACAACAACATGACCAGAGAGAACACCTACTATGCGCACGGGGTTTCCTCAGAACAGGTTCTTGTTTCCTCTCAAATATATAGTATTGATGTCGCGACAGGAAAAAACATAATCAAGCATGTCGCAGATGACCACCTCAAGGTTGGCCAGCACTACATCGCCAATTCGACCAACATTGGCTATTTGATCAAGGCCGGTACCTCAGAGGGAATTGGCTACAGCTCCGTTGACAAAACACACATGTCTTTTAATTTGACCGGTCTTCGGGAGCCCTCCTGGTCTCCCGGTGGCTCCAAGATTGTATACAATGTTTTTAACTGGGATCAGCAGGCCGGCGACCTCCAGCTCTGGAGCTTCGACAGTCAATGGGATTATCGGTATGCTTATCACATTTTATCATGATATATCATTTTTAACTTCTTTCAGCTACATGGATGTTTTTCCTATGCACAATGTTGCGTCCAACACCCTGTCTATCACAGAGAAGGTACTGGGAGGCGCCAACAGTTCTCTTGTGGTTTCATCAACAAAGCATACCGAACTCACTGACGCGCTTGACTCTTACGACATATACTCCGCTAGTAACGCCACAGAGGTCACATGGTTGGAAGAAGGAAACTCCGGCGCCTTCCAGTCTTCATTCAACCCAGATGGCGATGAACTCGTCGTCGGATTCGGCGCCTGGTTTGTGACCCGGTCTACCGACACCGGTGCCATCTATCGCGTCACAGCCAACGGCAGCTCCTACGCTAACCTGACCGACTGGGAGAATAATGCTGGATTTCCCTCGTGGTCTCCCGATGGATCAGCCATGGTATACCGTCTGTGGAACATCGAATCTGGTGCTCCCCAGGGAATCCAGCTTCTCAATTTCACTACCGGCGAGACCACCAAATTGACCCACGGTTGGGATAATACCCCGGGCTGGTCTCCAGACGGTCAGCGCATTGTATTTACTCGCAACAATAACTGGACCGAGTCATACGGAGCTCGTTGGTATGCCGATCGCTTTGATATCTACACTATCCGTCCTGATGGCTCCGAGTTGACCCAGGTCACGGATAGCCTGGCCAATGATGCACAGTAAGCTTCATCCACAAACTGAAAAGTCGACTCTGTTTCTTACTAGGGGATTTTATTTAGCGCTGTTTGGTCTCAAGATGGCCGTATAATGTGGTCTACCGGAATTTATGGCTTCAAGGATGAAAGTGCTCTCTATGACAACACCTTTCAGCCCTACGGCCAAATCATGGTAATGAACTACGACGGAAGCGACAAACACATTGTCACAGATACGATTTGGGAGGACTCCATGCCGCTCTACATGCCTAATGAGTATCTTTAGTAGTAAGACCAAAGCTCCTAAGGCTTTTGGAAACCACAGACCAAACTTCAGTATTTCAAATATGTGCTTATATGGATGATATCTTGCAGAAGAATCATTTGTAACATTGAAAGATACAACCGACCCTAGTGCTGGCTAATGGTGTTGTGGGGTCCACACATGTAAATAGTAGTTGGATAGAGCCTCACATCCCATTATATACTACATGCATCCATCTCATTCCATCCAGTCCCTCTGTAAATCCAGTGGCATTAATCCTCAAAGATGCTCAGTTGTTATCGTCCGGCCAAGCAAAAGGGCCTTGGACAATGAAGGGCATAGAGTAGAGTGACCTAGGCCAACTCTTTAGTCGTTTTCGTATCAGCTGAGTCTGCCACAGCCCGAATAGCATGAGCGCGTTTGATTCAGCAACATCAAGTCCTGGGATGCGCAATTTCCGATTTGTCAGAAAGGAATGAAAATCTTCAAGTAAAAAACACTTACAGTATTTCCGGAAATCGATGTCACCCCCTACACTATTTCTTTATTTCCTGAGCCCTATTGCTGCCAACCTGCGCTAAGCCAATTTTTCAACATTCTTTTGAAATATTAAATTCCCGGTTATTTACGAATATAGACTCTTACATATACCAGTTACATAAACATGCCGATCAGTGTGTGGCAGTTACGTGTCCTGTTGGAACCTTCTGGAGACATGCAAACAATCCAAACAGCAACCTCGGAAGACGAGTTACCCCTCACATTTTTGTGAGTGAATGCGCCCCGGAATTGATGCTCGCGGCTCAAGCAGGTCCTTTCCGTTTCACATTGTTCGTACTTGGCCAGTCACCTAGCCTCTACAGCTCCCTCTCTTATATCCCCGATTTAATTACATACAATACACCCACTCTTCCGCATCCATGTTCTAGTGCTACCTACACACACGCCAAAGAAGGTCGGGAAAAACATACAGGAAACATGAATTCCACTCCACTACTTTAAGAAAACCTTCCACAAGCTGCGAGAATTGCCGAGTCGTGAAACGACGGGTATGTATAAATTTTGATTCTCTTGCTAGCTTCATACAGACAAGGTTAATTCTGGATCAATTCTAACTGCTAGTAGTGCGATAAGAAGCGTCCTCATTGTGGACAGTGTGTCCGCTTGTGCCAAGACTGCCCTGGATATAGAGATAAGTGGGAGCTTATCTTTCGCGACCAGACCAAGCAAACTATCCAACGTACCGAACAGGCCAAGATGATCAAGATAAAACAGCCTGGCTACAGCCCTCTGACTGCCCAAGCTCAATATAACATGCAACGGCCAGCCTTATTGCAGACAGTTCCATCTGGCACAATGGTTAGCAGCCAAGTGTTTTCTTCCTACCTGGACGACTTTTTCCCCCGCATGGTTAAACCAGCCTGTGTGGTAAATTTGACCTATCCTATTATATCGACTATCTATATGCTGCCTCAAAAGAGCCTGATGCTCCAAAAAGCTACTTCTGCACTTTCATGCGTCTTTCTTGGCAAGCTTCACAGAGATAAGCCTGTCCTACAATATGGACTTTCTCTTTATAATGAGGCAATTTATGAAATGTCCAAGAGGATTAGTCGCAGGGATTACAGTGCTGAACTTATTTATACATGTGTACTCTTCGAGCAGATTGAGGTAAGAAACATTTTTCTGCTTGATCAATACAATGTTTACTTACAAAGCTACAGTCCCATTACTGTCCGGACTCCCTGGAGAAGTGGTACGCACATATAAATGGTCTCAGCGCAATTATGATGCTATACTCCCCTAAAAAGGGGGACTCTCCCATTATGGCTATAATCTATGGCCAACATCAAAAGTTCAGAGTGGTAAGAGAATCTTTTCGCTATAAGTATATCTGTGCATCTAATTATCAGCATATCCAGCTTTTTTCAAGACTTATGCATCTCTCTGAGCCTATAGTTCAGTGGCTCAGACAGCCTGGTGAGGGACTGCTATATGAATTAATTCAGCTCTTTACAGATATGTCGTGTCTTGCTGCTGCTGTCGATAGCGCAGACGTAGATAAATCTTTTGATCATCAAGCCAGTCAATTGCTGCTACATGATTGCCTGCTATTGGAAAGACGTCATCTGAAATTCTATGCCAAGGTCAGTGGAAATGGCGAAGATCCTTCTACATATATGTGTGGAGAAATTAAAACAGGAGTTTCTGCCACAGATGAGCTATTTGGTCCTGGCTACAGATTTCGTTCAGTTGGCGAGGCTAACTTGCATATGATTCTTTGGACTTCCTTATCTCTTCTGTATCCAATTATCTGCCAAGCTTATGCTGTAACAGAAACTCGGACTGATGACATGCCAGAGTTTCTGCGCATTGACGATCAATCTCCCCAGAATGTGGCTCATCAACTTTCCACATTCAACATCAGCAAAGCAATCAGATGTCTTCCGTACTGTGCGCAAGAAGGGATGAATTTATGGGCCCTCTTATATTGCGTCTTTCCTGCAATTCAAGCAACACGAGTATTCAGTCAAGCTAGGGATTGGGAACGATTTCTCTGGGCGTTAGAGCTTTTCCGATATTTTGGGGCATCAGGGTTTGACGTGGCTGCTCGGTATCATGCTCTTTGTTCTCATTATTGGTTTGACCCCTCGAAATATGGTAACAGTAGCTCCTGGAGGCTTCCGGATCCTAACGGGCTAACGAAGGGCCACTATGGATCTACGTGACTATGTGGTAAGCAGAAAGTTTGATACAATGCAATGAGCTTGATACAATCTCATTAAAATAAAAAATCAATTCACTTTTTCAATACAGCAGTCAGTCGCATGATGATATCTATCTAATGTCATCACTCGTAAAGATGAAATCAGACTTTGAAGAAAGCTACTATGGGGCCAGGCGCCAGGGTGGTGCCATTTGTACTTGATCGATTTTATTTGCTTATTATATCCATGGGTGACAGTACCTTTTTTCTTGAATTGTTCATATTCCGACGATCCGGGACAAGGATAACTCTAATGGTATGTATATCGTGGTAGTTAGAGCCTGGTTACTTGGAAATAAGCGCATTCAGAGTTTAGGGTTTACCCAGAGAGAAGCCATGTGGATGTCGGATGGAAAGTTACATTATCCGACGTATATCTGTATGGCTCGTGTTGTCTCGTTCGGACACAAGCAGTGGACACAAACAGTGGCCAGAATTGTCGGCTGCGATCGCCGTTGAGACTATGAGAGCCCCAACAGATAGCGTGGCCCGCTAACCCATATAACATTGATTCTGTGCTGCTTCGCTGACACCACAGACTTCTTCTGGTTGATAATCATGCGAGTCTTATTGTGTTGAGTGTGGTAATACTATTCCCACGCTAATCAATAGTCCTACTTCTTTGTCGGTCTGTTACCCATGCATTGACTGTTAATCAATTTCTAAGGCCTGGATGTTAGTTACCATATGAAATAAAACCACAGTTTAACATTGGGCCGTCACCTATGGAACAGAATTCGGTCACGATTTCCCGGTGGGGCATACCAAGGACTCGATCTGCGCGGACGCCTCAAACGTCGAACCTTGAACAAACTTGAGGTGCACTTCGGCCGTGGGTGTCGAAAATAGTTCCTCAGTGTGTTTTAGTCAAGCCGATTTCAAGAACAACTGTATGTCTTTACGAGCAAAACGGATTTTACTACCATTGTTGAATTGAAAAACGGAAGGCATGCATTAAAACCTGCAGTAAAACTTGATTTGAAATCACTTATATATGCGCTGCTTAGCTTACCTTGGCCATATAGTAAATAAAGCACGAGATTATTGATCAAAACCCCGCAGAACGAACAGCTCAAGTCGTCAAAAACGCCGAATACGCCTGTTACCGCGAGGGATGATCGGAACAGCTTTCCGGTGAGATTTTCCCTTCTCTGGTACAGGATTCGCAAAATATGACAACTCATTTCACGATTTTGAGCAGTCTCACAAAGCTCTCATATATAAATGTATTTTTTTCACTTACTTTTGGTAATGACTTCCAATAACGCGATGCCCAGATCGTGGGCACTGGCCGGATTCTGTCCGAGGAGAAGTTTGGGACTTGGTATCACATGAGGCGCCCAGGCCTGATCTGCTTTCTCGTATTTACCTCCACTGGCCTTGTCCAAGGCTTGCTGAAGATGGAAGGGCATATTTGGAGGGGCAATTTTGTTGGCATAGGCCTGGTCCTCTTCTTCATCACTAAATCCAGTCACACGTTTTCCGCCTAGCAGAGGTGTTCCGTCGGCCAAATATACGTTGACGAGGGCAGCCACACCGTGACAAAGAGCGACGATGATGCGGTCGGCATCATGAAACTCCCGAATCAGCTGAATCGTTGTCTTATCAGTGGCGAGGTCGTACATTGCTATGGTGATATAACGCGGTTAGAAACGCGGTTCTTCCTAACAATATAAAGTGCAAGGAATGCAACGGCAAGGAAGACCTACGCCCGAAGCCCCCCCACAACGAAAATGACATCAAATTCCTTCGCGTGACCAATAAAGGAAGCGAGCTTTTCAGTACTCTTCCAGATATCCTCTTTTGTGCGATAGAATTCTTGACAGTACGAATCATCTTTGAACCGCTCCACGGAGATAGGGTCGACCGTAGAGGTGCCCAGAGGTGAGGCGATGGTCATATGGACGTGAGGTGCAAGCACCTGATAAGGATGGGCGAACTCGGGCTATGAAGGTATGGTCAATCGAGAAGTCCGACACTTAGATAGTAGCACTGACCAGATACCAGCCATTTTCATGCGAAGAAAGAACAAACAATATTTTGGGCTTATTGGCAGTCATTGTTCAGCTTGCCTGGATAGAATGATAACACTTGGAAAGATATTTCCATGAGCGCGATATACGAGATACAGGCCGGCAGATATAACTTTAATCCCTTCACTATCATTAGCCATCCGGGTCATCCGAATATTCAACTGTAGCTGACTTATATTGTCGACTGCCTCGCTTCAAAAAGAAATTACGTCACCGAAAACGATACGTTCTGACGAAAATTGTCACTTGCCATTCCCTCAAATAGTCTATGTATTGGTTTTATCTACATCAGTTATTTTACGATTATGACATTGCATTCTAACTGGAGACCTGCGGTGAGTGCGGATAGTGACATGGTGGCGCGTCTAGACCTTACTGTAGGAATATATACGGGATACCGTCGTCAAACTCGGACGCTGCGGTCGCGTTCCCAGACTCGCCATGTGCCCATATTAAGGCAGCTACATATTGGTATACAAGCTATGGCAATGGAAACCGGGATCTCGGAGATAGAATCCCTCCATATTTACCGCTTCGGAAGGAATATTTCTTAGATCATGACAATTGAGCGAAGGGAAGTTTGACTAACCATAAGCTTTCCCGAAGAGTTCGATTTCATGGTATTCACGGTACGCCAAACCACGGGAGCAGAAACTGCTAGGGTTGTGGCAATATGAAGGAGGGGTACATGACATCACCCTAGAAGACTTATTGAAATGTAAGTGAAGTCTTTCTTCTTACCCTTTATAACAGATAGTAGGAGTCGTTATCTGAACCTATTCAAGTTTTTGGTTCTTTAAAAATTAATATGTTGTCGTAGAAAACAGATCTTTGGGACACAAAGGACGATAAATCATTTGGGCATAATTAGGCGTCAACAAATACAAAATTCCACTTAATAGAGTTTAAATTTGTTCTAAAATTCAGCCTTTACACGCCAATCACTACAGTTAATTGCAGAATGCTCTGAATCTAGCCCCCTATCGTCCTCCGTCTATTCTAGATCTTTGCTCTAATGTAATTGGCGGCATTTGGAGAAGTCACCTTACCATTACCTTCCAACATAAATCCCACCTACTTTTTCTGGTGTGGAACTTTCTTCCAATAAAGGGCCAAACATCATAGATGGAACGTCGGCTCTGAACATGATCAAATACCATTATGATGATCCTATTTGTCAAAATTATGCAGACTTGGGCAATCGCGCCTACTTCTTGGCTGTTTATTGTCTCAAGAACCCAAGCGTTCAAGACTTATCCTACATAATCGGCGCTAACGGATACCGCCAGGGATAGTGCGGATGCTGAAATTGTGGAACGCGCTGCAAGATCTCTGATTCAGACCTGATCCCCGACTACTAACTGAAATACAAAGACTTCAGAACCTCGAAAAGGAGATGATTGCTACTTGGCGTGAAGCGCCAAATAAATGAGACCGTGCTCCACCATAATAGAATAGTCCTTGCGACGAATCAACGTAAAGGTACTCGTTTTACACCTCAAACTTTTGGTGAGACGAACACTCGTAGCAATATATAGTAAGGGGCCCCACCCCACGTTAAATAATTCAATAACTTTACGGATATATTTCTGCGCAGATGCTCAACCAATCACCCCTTGTGCCACATCTTACTGCGTAGCTTTGCATAGATATATTTGACCCATACTTCTATCCGTGCATAATCATTTCCCGCGCCCTGTCGAAAGCAAGCGTTCATTGTCATGCTATCTCTTCAAATCCAGTTCGCACCTCAGCCCTTTTCGTTTCAGGGCCACAGCGTGCGCAGCGCGCGTCTTCCAGTCCAGTTCAAATCCTAGTTACATAATGGGAGAAGTTTTATTGGGGTTTCCTCACGTGATATCTACACCGACATTACTGAGGGTTTCCCCCCCTCTTACAAGTCCCCCTGCGAGGTGGTTGCTTGTCTCTAGCTATCTCGTCATCTCACACCCAGTCAAGTCTCGATTCTTAATGTACTATTCCATATATAGTTACTTCTGTATTTAATGATATGTTCCAATGCCGTACAGTAAAATTACAGACGGAACAGAGCTGGAAATATATGTATTATTATTAATCCAAAATGACCATCCGCTGACGTTAGTTCTGGTCCCTCTCCCAATTTTCTCAAGTCGCGATTATGTATCCTCCTAAATCCGTTACGAATTGGGGCGAAACCTGAATCCTCGGCAGCGTTAGATGATTGCATACATGATAACGAGTAATTGGAGATTGTCTAGATCTCAAATAGCCAAGCTGGCAAAGTGTAGCGAACGTTCTATTACTAACGTACGCAAGAATATGCGGTTGTCCAGCAAACCTAAATTCCTCCCGGCTGAACCATCAACCACTACCCCTGTGATGCTGGACGCCCTTTATAAACACTAAGTGTTTTCCACAAGTTTTCGGATATTCGGGACTTATGTGGGACGTGTTGGACGGGTTGGATGGTTGCAATGGGTGGGGCAGCCGGTCTAAGAGGCTGGTAATTGGCCGTTGAAAGTGCCTATGACATTATTAATAATAAGATGTAAACAGTGCAATCTGCACAAACATTGAGATTTTAAAACTAATCAATTCGAATTGAACAGCCACAGGAGGTTATAAATATGGCCAAACGCTGGTTACTCGCTTCCTTGATTACATCCATACATTTCTATCACGCAGCTTACAAGACTTTCTACTCCTTGTTTCTCAAGCGAAAATGCCAAATCGTATCGCTATTTATGCCCACCGCGGCTGGATAGGTTCTAAGATTGTGAAGGCCCTTGCTGAATCTCCTGCATCTGTCAAGATTCTTTGCCGGCCGGGATCAAGCGTTGTGGGATTGCCTTCCAACGTGAGCGCAGTTAATGTGGACACAACGGATCAAGCGGATTTGATTGCAGCTCTACGGGATATCGACATTCTTATGTGATTTACCCGCCACTTCAACCATAGTACCGTCACGGCTAACATTTCACTTAGCTCGCTGGTTGGCCATGATGGCATTCGAAGCCAACATCACTTGGTTGAGGCTATTCCGAAAACCGAAGTCCGGCTATTTGTACCGTCTGATTTCGCTGTCAGATATGCTGGACAGGGGCTAGCTATTGATGTCATACGGGCGAAATTCGAAGTTGAAGAACACGCAAAGCGCCTTGCCGTGAAAACAACAACGGTATTGACCGGAAATTTGGCTGAATTCGCGCTTGGAACACCGTATGTAGTTGATCTGATATGCACTGGACGATTGCTGACGAGTTCAAATCCCTGCAGAGTTATGGGCGTCGATCGCTTAAATAATCGTATCATCTTCACTGGTGATAGCGCTTCACAACCGTTAAACCTATGGTATGCAAAACGTCCATAACATAGAACTTTCTGTCGCTAACAATACTTAGCACACGAAGCTATGTCGCAGCAGCTTACGCCTCCATGTTTGGAGATACTCCGATTGAAATCCTGAAGAACCGTACCTTGAGTCTTTCCGAGCTAAGACCCACAGGTTATGATATACAGCAAGCGCTTACAACTAAGTTTGGAGTGCCTCCAGCCCAGTACACAGTTCCTATTGAGAACGTTTCCATCCAGGTGGATGAGATGATCAAGAAAAGAGACCCTGGCGCGCTTGCTTGGTATACTCGTGAGAACTGGGGCAACGGTGATCAGCTCAAATTCTTAGGTACCGATGCCTGGGAGGTTGAAGGATACACCAAGGCAACTGTTAAAGACCTACTTCTGGAGGATAAGCTAGAAGAGTATCGTCCCCTCCCGAAGGAATTCCTCGATATCCTGTATGTTGAATACGCCGATTGTGTTTAAAATCAATCTTGCCCTTTGTGGGAATGTAATGTGAAGGATATTTTGATAACAGCAGCGTGATAAGAACCTTGCTACATGAAAGGCCACAGATTAGATGGGCCACCGAGAGCCAGCCACCCCTAGGAACCATGCAAGGTTGTGAGTAACGCGAGACACGCAGGAATCGGCGTCACTTATACCCGCACCGACACTACACCATATGGGTACAAACGTTCATGGTAAATGGTATCGCGTGATAGCGCATTCCATCTTGGGATCTCAACATAGGATAGGAAGGACTGGAATGTAAGGGTATTCCTTTACGCAAATGTAGTTCTTCGTGATCAATTGCACATCGTCACTTGGATCTGCTGTTGATATACATCATTGTGGATTTATGCGCAATGGGGTCAGGAGTGGAAGGAAAGCACCAAAGGCGCGCACCTACAGAAAATTGACGGGAAACTGCCGGCACGGTACACGAGAAAGCTCTACGGGAATTTGCCCAGGAATCATGCATATCTGCTAACGCGACTATGCACGGGCCACAACTGGTTGTCCACTTACGCGAAGAAATTCGGCTTTCGTGAAGATGATCTGTGCGAGTGCGGCGCGCAGGAGACGGTCATCCACGTGATGATGGACTGTCGAAACTTGCGAGAGCCGTAGGGTGAACTGAAAAGCAAAGTCGGGGACGTAGACTCTGTGTCTTGAAAAGAACGGGTTATATCAAAAGCTGGACATGCAGGATGTCCGATAAAAGTTGATGGAGTCATTGATTGCGAAAGCCTCACACTATCTAGAATAGCAGGTAGATCGAAATTATCCACGGCATTCCGGAATTCCGGTGAGTCCATCTGGATCGTGTCGCGTCGTCACTTTCGCAGACAAGATCATGTTAGTCTATAATTTCCTCATTATCATAAGCCTCGACAGCTATAATGGAAGTTGATAAACATTGACCATGTACCAGTAGCATGAGGGTGGATAACTTTAAGTTGTCTTCGAACTATGTAGCAGTCAAGTCGTTGAAACATTTAGGGTCCAGGGGTCAAATGTTACAGAAATACTAGTCGTGCCTTAATTTTTATAACTTTTTTTTTTCATGATCTTGAAAATCAAAAACAAGGCCTGGAAAACTTGCCCCTAGGACGTTACCAATTTGAATTTAGATATCTAGGAGAGCCCATGTAATCTCCAAAGCCCAACGAATATCAGCAAGGCTCCAACTCGCTCCCAGGAACCAAAGATATCGGGGTAATCCATGCAGAATTTAAGTCTCCTCGGTGTGAGGATGCCCTAGGAGATACGTCGTGGGTCCTAGGGGCCAGTAATAGCATTCCGAGGAGCCAATGCTGTGGTCCTAGGTGTAATATATCGCACTCCTAGGCCCCCCTTGTCCCTAGGAATTAGTGCAAAAGGTCATGGGAACGATGGTCGACGGCCCTATGAGCTTCAGTGTCAATTTTATAGGCCTCCGGAATAAACAAAGTACCCAAAATCCAAACCAAGCCAGAGAAGAGACTCGGGAAACCCATCACCCACTCCCAGCTAGCATTTATACCTGGGATGCTACTAATTATGGGTCCTAATGTCAGGGATATACATGAGACATATACGCTAAGTGGAGGAACGGGCCCACATGGTGCATCTGGATTCCCATGAACGCGAGGAAGATTTATTTCTTTTGCTTCCTTGTGCTACGTCTTGTATCTAGAGTCGACTATAGCTTTCGTTAATATTGATCATTCATTGGAAAGAAACGCTCCTCATCAACAGATACGTGAGACCCTCACACCCAAGGCTGACACGAGGAAGGAGAGACCGTTGAAGACCTCGTTGGAGAGATGAGTTTGGTGATCGTTGAAAGTATAAACGGCACTTTTGAGCAGAATTTCAATGAGTCACAGGCGGTTGTTGAAGAGAATTGAGGGTTGGTAAAAAAAAGGTTTGAGATACTTTGAGATACTTTATGCTAGAAATCGTTGAACTCGATCGCTGGGAATCATAGAATGGTTCGCGCATTCTCAGTCTGATTGGATAATCCATTTTAACGACTCTTTCCCCGATCTTTTGAGCAATATCAATTAGAAAACGATTCTTTCAACGGGTTTCGATTTTGAGTCTGCTTCAGCAATGACTTCTGATTAATACTCACCTGTCTATCTACTAGCCCAGAGAATGTGTGAAAAAGAGAGGGTGGTGTTAAATTATCCCGGTTGCTGAGATAATAATGAGGCTGGGATCACGTGCATTCATGTGTACTCAGTCCACCGTCTTGTCACGTGAAGCAGTTCCCCATTCCCCAGATCCACCCAATTGTAAGGTTGTTGTGCTGTTAAAGGTATCGCCGACCTTCCCCCGGGAGCCCTCAGCGTAGATCTCCGAGTGAAGGACAGACCAGCAGAACATGTGCCACACTTTCAGGTTCGCCACAAACGTTAACAAGTGGAACCACGAATCCGCATTGATTGGTTTGGGGATTCGCCACTCTCTCGTTCTGCTTCTCCAGATGGCGCCGAAAGACCCATAATATGGCCGAGGACGGCTCCGTAAATTTGAATAACAAGATTCAATTTGATTTCCTTCGTAACATTGGGAAAAATAGTCGCTTCTCAGATTCTCTGCGCGTGGCCTCAAAAGAAGGGGCTTCTGGATGTACTACTAATTCCATGTAGAATTCCGGTCGCATGTTCAGTGAGATACGGACTCAGGCTTGGCCTAGAATTAAGGTTTCCACCCGAATGACTGGCAGTAGCCTCACAGATTGGTCTAGTCCTTCATGTAGAACGCCAAGAGCTGTACCTCTGACTTCAGTTGGACAAGCCACTCAACGAACTGTGAATCGAGGTGTATGTGGCTTGCCTTATCCCGAAGCTTTAACGTGTGTCAACGATGGTCTCCATGGGTTGAAATGTTCCTCGGTGATGCCTCTGATATCTTCACGGCATCACTCGGCATGCCTACTTAATCTCAGACTCCCTTGAATGGTATCACGTTTCTTATCCAAAACACACGCAAATGCAAGCAGTTAGATCGATCTCACTTTTCGTATTGCCACCGCCGCAAATCTGACTTAAAAGATCTGTTCACTATCGACGTGTGACCCGACTGCCATGTCTTCATCCGAAGAGTCTCCTCGGGTTACATCACTTCCTCTTCATTACCCAGAAGTATCGCACTTGCATGACCCAGAAATACTTCCGAATGTGATTCCAAAAAATTTGCAATCTCCTACAAAAAACGAGCAAAGTACCTCATATATTGCAAACCTCAGCCGAACTGACACGGCCGACATCATCGATCAGTTTTCAATAGCGCTACCTGAACTGCAACCTCTCGACTACCCAGCTAGAGCGGCTTCAGAAGCAGAACAGAAAATATCATTTTCAGCCGGATGTCACTTGTACCCGAAGGCCATGGCCTGGTCATTTATTCTGTCGTCCACACTGATCATGGAGGGATTCGACACTCTTCTGATTTTTAGCTTTTTCACTTTCCCAGCATTCAGACAAAAGTTTGGGGCATGGACTCCTCACAACGGATATCAAATTTCCCCTATCTGGCAATTTGGCCTATCGACAGCGGCAGAGGCTGGAGAAATAGTCGGACTACTTGTCAACGGCTATGTTGCAGATCGGATAGGATATCGCTGGACCGTGGTATCTGCATTGGCTTTCCTGATGTTTAGCATTTTCCTATCAGTTTTCGCTTCAAACATCGGGACATTGCTAGCCGCGCAAATATTGTGCGGGATCCCATGGGTGTATTTCAGACATTGTCAACTGCATACGCCGCGGAAGTGATACCCGTTAAGCTCCGTGCTTATTTGCTCAGCAATGTTAACTTATGTTGGATTCTGGGTCAGTTTTTGGCTACAGGCATACTGAGAACATTTGTCGACAATACTTCCCAGTGGTCATACCGCATTCCTTTTGCATTACAATGGGCGATCGGTTTCCCAATTCTTGTCGCTGTCATCTTCTCACCAGAATCTCCATGGTGGCTTGTACGCCATAGGCGACAGCAGCAGGCGAGGAGGTCGGTCCAGAGGTTAACTAGAGAGAGCAGGGTAAATATCGACCAAGTCATTGCCATGATGGAGCATACCAATGAGATTGAGAAATATCTTCAAGAGGATGAAGGTATCTCTTATCTTGACGCCTTTAAGGGAGTTGACCGTCGTCGAACTGAGATTGCCGCTATGGTTTGGGTAACACAACAAGTATGTGGAACAAGTTTGATGGGCTGGGCATCAACATTTTATGAGCAGGCTGGGTTCAGCGTTGACAATGCTTTCAACCTGTCTCTCGGCATTTACGGACTGGCTATAGTTGCGACTGTGATTTCCTGGTCGCTTCTTTCCTGTGTTGGACGGCGAAGGCTTTATATCTGCGGCCTTTCTGCACTACTCGCTCTACTATTGGCTGGCGGTATTGTGGGCACTCTTCCGACCTCAAAGGCACAGCTGTGGTGTCTCGGATCCTTACTATTGATTTTAACTTTTGTCTACAATATGACAATCGGCCCTGTATGCTACGTTGTTGTGGCAGAGATCCCATCAACTCGATTGCGGATGAAAACGGTTGTTCTGGCCCGGATAGCTTATAATCTAGCTGGCATTCTGGTGAACTGGATGACCCCACGCATGCTGAGCCCGACTTCATGGAACTGGAAAGGAAAGTCCTGTTTTTTCTTCGCCGGTACCACAGCGCTGTGTCTTGTCTGGTGTTACTTTAGACTGCCAGAGACTTTTGGTTTGACCTACCTGGAGATTGACATTTTATTTCAGAGGAAAGCAAGGCCAAAAAAGTTCCGTGAGCTCCGGGCCAACCTCGAAAACTCAGGATATTTTAGCGTGCAAGGTTTGGGGAGGGATGCAAGTACTTGGCGACGATATTAATCCTCAACTGTAGTCTCCTCAGCTCTAGTCTCCAATAATATGCTGGTAAATAGAGAATTTGAAGGATCGAAAGATTAAAATCAAACGTGATCATCGCTACCTGTACGAAACCTGCACACTCAGCCCGATTATGACAACCGATTGAAAGACCCATCAGATTGATTGTGAAATATCTAACGGACAATTCATGACTTGGACCAGAGCCACCCTGGTATCGCAGGGAATTAAGATTATAGATAGAGGTTAAAGAATTAGATTATAGATAGAGGTTAAAGAATATGCGCTTAATCGGAGTCCGTTATCAGAACTCTTGTGCCGGCTCTAGTTAAGCCAGGGGAGGGTAGAGAAGTTGAGAGCTTTTGAGGCTTAAGATTTTGAATGGGTAGCTTGATTTTTGGTGATATTGATAGATTTTTGGTGATAGCTAAACTGCTTTTCGGATAGTACTAGGCTATACTTCTTTTAGTAGCTAGTAGACTAGCTAAATTTAATTAGAAATTAGGTTTCTGATCTATCTAATCTACTACTGTACTCTTGACTAAATAACTTATACTAGCTATAGCCTCTATTTCTATCTCGTCTTAGATTATTTCTTATATAAATAGATTTTATATTTCTTATCTCTATAATTAGCTGCTAAAGAGCTAGCTTTAATATAATATTAACAGCTCTAGGTCTTAAGATTTCTAAGTAAGGCTAACTATCGAAATACTTCTCTGTAGAACAGAGGCGTAGGGCTTAACGTAGTTCCCGGCCGATCTGGACACCCCATCCAAAACAGCCACTTCTTACTACCCTACCTAACTCAACTACCTACTATTTCACTAATTCGCACTGAATCCTCGCCAAAATCGGCGAATCAGGAGGGAAAGATCATATTGGCCCTTTCCAATATCAAAGATGGCCGTATTAAATCGCTCCGCGCAGCCGCAAAGCTCTACTAAGTTCCCCTCTCTACACTACATACGCGTACCTACGGTTAACTCCAATACGTCGATAAACGTCTATCAAGCCATAAATTGACCCAAAACGAAGAGGATTCGCTTACTGAATAAATTATCTCTATAGATATATGTAGAGCAGCTCCTACGTGAGGATGCTCAGATGCTCACAGAGATCAACGTACGGCGTAGCATACGAAGCAAAGGAAACAGTAGCTGTTCGACGAAAGTAATAGCTTGAGGAAAATAAGAAGAAAGCTAAGATAGAAGGCTTCATACACAGGTGTAGGCGTGGATGCCTAGAGTGGTGCCGTAGGCATGAGGCATCCACGAATGGTAACAACACCAGTTTGTTACAGTGAAGAGGGGAAGAGGAGTGAGCATACACTACATAGCGGACTTCCGTAGGTCTTAAATACAGGATATTGCCTAGGAGACGCGAAATATGCCCTCGAATCGGTCTGGGCCATGGGTCTACACCTAGGTACCATGAGATAGAGATTGATAGAACTCTTCCTAATTAGGAAATGATAAAATTATGTTGATCAATAGATACATTAGTCATCCGATCGCAATAAGCAAAATTCACCCATAGCGCGCAAATTCTGTTGGATGACGGGGTGTGCCATAAGCTAGAGTTGACTGTTACTAAATTCAGACTGCATAGCGTCTTGACGCTATGTTTGCATGTTAGGGACTTGAATATGAGCAAGTCGATTCCAACTCTCGATAGCAGCACCGATCGCGACGAGTCTCTTAGCGGATCAACTCGTACAGATTGCCATTGGTGGCGTTGGTGTCGTTGCGACCGAGGGAGCCGAGGCCGAAGTTTTGGATTGCACCACGGAGGAGACCGTAGGTGGTGATATAGGTATTGTCCTTGGTGTTGGGAGTGACGCCAGCACCGAACAGCATCGTCACGATGTGGTTGTCGTTGTTGGGAGTGGTGTCGTCGTCGTTCTGCCAGGTAGCCTCGTCGAAAGTAGCAACGACAAGGGTTCCCTGACGCTCAAGCTCGGGAAGGTAGAGGTCGAGCCAGGAGTTGAACCAGATGGCGCTGGTGTCAGGCTGGTGGGTGTAGTCGCTGTTACCCTCCGGGTCGTGGGCGTTGTGCAGCATATCCGGGACGTAGTACGAGTAAGCGGGCAGAGCGTGAGAATTGACGTGCTCGGCAAAAGTCGCATTGGCATCGTACATCTTAGTGCAACGCTCGTAGTTGGAGGTATATGTACTGAAGAGCAGACCAGGGACATCCAGGCGCCGGTAGGTTTGGGAGGACCAGTTGGGATTGGTGTTGTCATACGGGCCATTGTAGATGTAATTGTTGCAGTCCTTGGGACCTCGGTGGGTCTCGATAGGGTTGTACCACTCGTTGTAAGTGGCATAGTCAATACCGGCATGATCCAGAAGGTCGTAGATGGTGCTAGCATCGACGTTGAAGAAATCCTCGTTGGCCAGGCCGAAGAAGTCACCGGCCACGATGGCAGCATAGTTAGGCAACGAGGGGTGGGTGATAGCGTGGAAGTTGGTTAAGGACTTGCCCTTGGTAGCCAGCATCTGCCAATAAGGGGAGGCCATGGTCCAGCTGTAAACCTCGTTCTCGAAGATGACGTGCAAGATCTTCTTGACCTTACCCTCGCAGGCCATGTTCGGGTTGTCGCAGCAGAAATCACGGCTATGAGCCCGGGACTCCTGGCAGTCGCCAAACAGCTTGGTTTTGTTAAGGGCCTTGGGGCTACCTTCAGCGATCTTAAAGTAAGGGTTCATCTTGAGCGCGCCATCAGGGAAGTAGTCATAGCCCTGCTCCATGTAGGGGCCGGTGAAGTTGGCACCAGCAACGGTATTGTTATCAACAGCCCAGTAGTAGTAGCCACCATACAGCCCTGGATGGAAGGGCTCCTTATAGGAGAAGGTGTAGTTCTTCACGGCAGGGTCGTTGATTTTGAAGACATTGCCGCCCTGGAAGGGAACTTGATCAGAAGGCAGGGTGTGCTGAGCAGACGCCAGAAAAGCAAAGGCCATAGCAATGGCGGCGCTGGTGAAAGAGAGCATATTGATAGTTGTTTCTGGTTTTACACACGCCCAGGGAGAATTAGAAACTAAAAGTCTTGGGTTAATATTTGGTATACTTGAGCTGAAGCTTGTCTTTTATTTGCACCTGTCAGTCGCCTTCATCTCGTCCCTAATGGGAGTGCTCGACACATGTGCCTAGTCTCTTACTAGCGATTGGCCTCTATTAGGATATCCGGGTACACCGACCCGGAATTACGAAGCAGATGCGCTAGAATACAATTATTCATCTCCCATGCCGATCATTTAGAGGAAATTGCAATGGCTGCTAAGATATCGGACTAGCTCATAATGAGTTTTATACTGAACCTGGAATGCGTCCACTCAGGAATCTTGAACTGCCAGCCACGGGCGATGAAATAGCAATTTCGGAGTTCGAGACCACCCTACAGATCGCGGAAGTACTCCGAACTCATATTATTTAAAGTCCTGAACTAAGAACAACTTTATCCAAATGTCTACACGTGGGCACTTCCCTGGATCTTGGCTCCCCAATATTCTACATTATGCCGGTTTAGACCCCGTCCGATAGTAGACAACTGGACCCACTAAGCGGGTAAGGGCTACTTTCGAGTCTAGGCAGTCATATTTTGACTGTTAAGGACATGCCGTTGTAACCGGGAAACACTTTCCAGCACGTTCTCCGGGTCCCAGATAAAATTCGGAGAATAAAAGGCCCACGCCTTTTTGATCGTCAATTTAAAGATTGTCGAGAAAATGGAGCAGTGACTTACTGCTAGGACAGGATGATTACAGATAGGTATTTGAAACGGTACTTCGGCCGCCCATGACCCACCTTTTTTATGCCAGTGGGGCTCCAGAATACCATTTCTCTCGAAAATGGTCGAAGTATTGTAGTTGCCCAGTAGTTTCCTGCACTATACTGCCAACGATAAGGAAGTTCTCAGAGGCAAAAATGGTAGAGAAATAAGGTGAAGAGGACGTGATATTCACAATAAACTGCACATTCCTGCGCACAGGTGTAGCTTATGGAAGGTTTAGGCCCGAAAGATTTGGAAGTTCGACCAGCAGAAAAAAGAGTGGGATCAACAATAACTAGTTAACTATTGTTGGAGGGGTCTAGACATGGGAATGCGCAAAACTGCCTTTTGGCCCCAAATCTTCGGCCAAGAATACAATTTGTAAGGCATTACAGATCTTTTAACTAATTAAATAGTAGATATAATTTAATAATCTGTTATATATAGGTTAATTAGAGTACTAAAAGCTTATTTTTAATATTTTGGGGAAATATATAGTGTGGTGGGGATTGATCGGAGCCTTAGCAACAAGGTGTCTGCTTTCAGGGAGATATTTGTTTCGTACACAGCTATCGAAGTTCAAGTTTCTGTCTTTTCCTGCTGCGGTAACGACATCGGCATATCGTTCATGAAGGCTCGAATGCTTTAGGATATCGTATCTCAGTAGGGCACTGCTTTGTCTACTACTCTCCTGCACTCTGGGAGTGTGGTGGTTTTGTCTCTCTACGATCGACCCGTCTGCCAACGCAGACAGCCAGCGAGCCTTCCCATCTTTCAATAGGTTTTATAGAAACATATTATATACATATTTGCGCCCCATTTTCCCATACAATAAAATTATATTTTCTTAAACTTACCTTTATCCAACCTTTCGCTTTATACGTCATAGATTTTCTCAGGGTCAAATTAAAGGGCAAAATAAAGTTCTGTTTTTGTAATACAGTAGAATTCGAAAACAGATTAACTTACCCCCAGAGACACGCGTTCTTTCCCAGCGCCCCACTCTGGTTGCGTTAACCTGAATTCGGCTGGTCTCCCACCATGTTGTCTTCCATGAATCTACTGTACAACGGCCGTTGTTTAAGTTTTTAACCAGAGTACCATGGAACAGTAAATTAATACTAACGCTTCTTAGTCTGAAGGAGTCTTGTCTGCATGGATATGTAGGCCTTTCTTTATTGCCTCTAGAATAGCCTGCTCTACCAGCGTACGGATTCATCAAATCTCAACTGGCTTTTTGCGCAAATGTCAGGCTAACTGTCACTTTTCCCCTGATACCCTCCCGCTTGTTCTCTCAGCTTGATTGATCGTGATGATATCCACACCTTCACGAAAAAGTATGCGGCGTACATAATTTCTTAGCTTTATTGGCCGGATCGGTGTACCCCAATATCGGAGTTTGAGACCGTGCTCATGAGCTCGTTGTACCTGAAGCCGAACAGCAGAGAGCTGCTCATTCGAGAACCCACTGAGATCAACCGGCCCAATTGCTTCGTCGAAATTAGCCGACGCGTAGTAGCTATTTTGAAAGCTGTAAACGAGTTCTTGGGGAGAGAGCTGCGGAGGCAAACTCGAAATTTCGAGAAGCGGAGCATCAAAAAATATGTCCCTAAAAGTGCTTCTTTCTAGGACCTGATGAAAAGGAACATTGCCGCTCGCAACGATCGTGATTGGAGCTTGTACAATGGATGATCCATTGAAATAGGTTAAGAGTCCCGCTTCTCGAAGTGGCGCAAGCTGAGGGAGAAGTAGAGACCAGATACTCTCTGAATCAGCGACGAAGTCGACCATCAACACGAGCGTCTGCGGACCATTAGCATTAGCGAAAAGGTTCGTAAACCCTTGATTATCGACCTTTGTCCCTATATGTAGATTTGCTGATTTTGTGTGGTGATCCTGAAGCATTCTCAAAATGGGATCAACATAGAGATATCGCAAGTTCTGTCCTAGTGACAGCATGTCGGGGCTGGGTCCAATCAAGAGGTTATTTTCAGATGGATAAACCGTGATTTCAATGCTGGTGCAGCCTGTAGAAAGTGCGTATTGCAATGGGACATGACGACCATGGGGGCTGTGTGAATAGCAGGCCACAGGTATTGAGTCAAGGGTTGACCGATGTGGAGAATCGAAGTGATGAAGGGAAGAGTCCGTAGTATCTCGATAGTAAAGAATGTCACTTTGCCGAACCCAGTAAAGTATCTTGAAGAGAGCCCTAGTTTAGGGGAAGATTTTAGTTTTGCTTGATGAGTTGCATCGCCGAAGAACCTGCTATAGAGAATAGTCCTTACAGAGCAGCTAACAAGCTCCAGCAAAAGCGTTGTGCTACTCGACTGAGAGAAGCTCGATTGGATAAAGACGACGATTTGCAGTATTCGGAGCTATAAAGTGCAGGATCGAGTGAATCCACCTGTGGCCTCGTTGCTGAAAAAAGGGGCACCCAGGATTCCGGCATCGTATTTTGTGAGGATATGGCGAAGTTTTACTGGTGAAGGTCGAGTGCGGGTTCCCCAAGGAATTTTTGAAATGTAACCGCCATGAGCTTATGCTAAGCGGTCTCTAGCAATTTTCATCATGAGCTTTCGCCCCCTACCTGCCCAGAGGTTAATAATGATCCCATGGCTGCCCAGCCGGAATAGATCTGCCTGGACCCCTTCTGACCAACCCCGTCCAGACGGAACGGCGTATCATCACTAGGATTGGATTAAGTTACGCGCGATAGACTAAAGTAAATCTGCCTTTCGGATTAGTTGCGGAAGAGCCACCTGACTTGAGACATCGATGGCTGAACAAACAAAAATGGAAGATTACGCAAGATAGCTCACCATCTCTATGATGAATGGTATAGTGCCCGCCCCCGCGTGGGTCAAGCTTTCTTTGCCGAAAGGCTTGACCAGGGATCAACACGGAGCCACTAGTGACATCACGGTATCGTTTCAAGTTCCTTGCACGGCCCCAATGCCAATGATTGCAAAATAAAGAGCGAAAAAGGGTTCAAAAAAAAATTTAAATCAATGCCAGAGGTCAGCGTGGAGACTGGATGTTCCACTCAAAATTTACTGGGCCCTGAAATCGTAATACAGAGCCGCGGACTATTTCGAAGCTGCTGTGAGGATGCTCAGGTGCTCACAGAGATCAACGTACGGCGTAGCATACGAAGCAAAGGAAACAGTAGCTGTTCGACGAAAGTAATAGCTTGAGGAGAAGAAGGAGGAAGCTGAGATAGAACTAAGTACATGTAGGCGTGGATGCCTAAGTGGATGCCATCTACGTCAGGCATCCGCGAATGGTAACAACCCCAGTTCGTTACAGCTGCGGGCGTTGTCGCCAGTCCACAAGTACATAATTACAATGACGCACTTACAATTTCTGGTCCCGCTAATCATAATCTGCGATACTTGGGCAGTATACCCGAAGTAAAGAGACATAATCAACGAGTTTTTGTTTTAACATGTTTGCTGCGTCACTGTACAGAACCCCGAGTCCGGAGTATGTACACGTACAGGGTAATGAAGTTGTCTAGCCATCTGGGGCCCAATGATGGTGCTGCTATGTTGCTGCCTAGTTTCAGTTAACTACATAGTAACTTCGTACTTTTGACTTCAGCTCTTGTAATATTACAGTACAAGTGCTTGTGCTTGGGCCACCGCGAACGAAGTGTCCCCACTATGTCACCGCTGCGATCACTGAAGGGTAACGAACGATCTAAAGTGATCATAAGCAATTATCTCGCTAATGCTGCGCCTCAACATCTGCGACTGATCATTCTGTCGGATTGTCACGGCAATAGCTCGGAGCGCAGTGAAGTCAAAGTGGGTCGCTCAAAGAATGTTGCTTCCAAGGGTCCCTGTCTCTCCAGAATGGACGAAATTCTTTCCACACATCTCTGCATATGGTGAGGAATACAGTATTTTCAAGCCCAGGGCATGATATTAGCCGATGAGGTTTGCCTTGTCAGAGTTCTCGCTGGGATACGTACCCAACTGAGAAACGATATACCCCTATATTGAGACCGATCAGGTAAGGATCTTGGCTAGTATGACAGGGAGTAGTAAGGTTGACAGGAACAGATAGACCTCCAACCCTTGCTTCGTCTATCCTTTTACCGACTACAAATAGCTTACCTGATCCGCAAGCTTCAGATATTGATATTTAAGAGAACTGATTCAACCGAAATTTGCCAGAACTTCGTTCGCCTTCAATATGTCTCTCTTGCTTTGCCCATTCCTTTCTCAGTCCACGGGTGTCTACGAGTCGTTCTGATATATTCAAGATATGCCCAAGGCTAGTTCTGGTGTTGTGACTGGGCTGTCTTCGCCACCACAGCCCGAGGAACGATATCACATCTTGTCCAATAAGCAAAAGTGGAATCTCGTCATCCTCGTCTCCTTCGCGGGCTCCTTCTCGCCATTGTCTTCGAATATATACTTTCCCGCGGTCGACACTATATCTAGGGATCTAGGAGTGAATAGGTCCCTGATTGCCCTTACCATCACGGTATATATGGTTGTTCAGGGAATTGCTCCCTCTCTCCTAGGTGCCTTCTCGGACGCTTACGGCCGCCGCCTCACATTCACAATAACTCTTACTATTTATGCTGTCGCTAACCTCGCCCTGGCGTTCACTACCAACTATCCAATGTTGATGGTACTGCGTGGCCTTCAGGCGGGAGGTTCTGCAGCAACTATTAGCATTAGCGCTGGAGTCATTGCTGATATTGCTTGCCCACAAGAACGTGGTCGTTTCATAGGGACAAATGCTGGTGTTCGGTATGTAAGGAGACTGCACCTCTCCTTCGAGGAAGATCGCATGTTAATATTTCAACAGAATGACTGGTCAAGCAATTGGTCCAATCATTGGAGGCGCATTGAATAGTCTATGGGGCGTTCGAAGCATATTTTGGCTGCTTTTCATCCTAAGCGTGATTGTCCTTGGCGCACTCCTAATCTTCCTTCCAGAAACGCAACGCAGCATAGCAGGGAACGGCACAATCGTTGTGTCTGGATTCCAGAAGCCCTTTATCTATTCTATAAGAACGCCATTGGCCTGGACAAACAACTCTGAAACGAGCAGTCCGTCGAAGCCAGAGCACCAATATCCCTCAACGCAGCGTTTAGTCCCCTGGCTTACATTCTTGAAAATGACATTGCTGCGCTTTTAGCCTGGGGTGCTGTAGCTTACACAGCATGGAGCATGGTCACATCTTCTACCACAACAATGCTGCTGCTCAGCGTCCCCTTTCTTACGCAGTCGCAAATTGGGCCATGTTTCCTCCCAAATGGGCTAGGCTGCATCTTTGGCTCGCTCAGCACAGGCCTGATCCTGGATCAGAGCTTCAACCGTGTCCTCACACGATACAAGACGGAACACGGCATCGCTCCGGAAGAAAGTGTTGTTCACAGGCGCGACTTCCCATATGTGCGGGCCCGCCTACGCCTCATGCCTGTATTTAGCATTATGCTCATGACGTCCCTGGCACTTTATGGACCAAGCTTTGAATTCAATGACTTACTGCAGCGGTTTGGACCGAACTTAGTCGCACCGCTCATCCTCCAATTTATGATTGCCTTCTCGGTGACAGCTATTTTCAACATCAACTCGACTATGCTGATTGACTGCTTCCCCGAGCGACCTGCAAGCGCGACAGCGCTCAACAACCTGTGCCGATGTCTACTGGGGGCGGTGGGCGTAAGCGCCATCCAGCCATTGATTGGTGCTGTAAGGGCTATGAGAGCATTCTTCATTGTGAGCGGTGTCGTGTTTTTCTTCACTCCACTAGTTTGGATTGAATGGAAATGGGGGGAGAGATGGAGACAAGAGAGAGAAAAGAGACGTGCTCAGCGAAATTAATAATCAAGGCTAACTGTGGATACCCTGTGGCTCAATCTCTGTGCGACGCTTTCTAGATGTGCGCCGGCTGAATTTGCCATTCGTCATACTTGAGAAATTCGTGGCAGTATTGGATTCATATCACAAAGTTTTGTAGGTAGTAAATTGATGTTGTGATATACGCATCAGGCTAACGTATAGGCCCAAGCTCCAGATACTCATAGCCACTTGTTTATGTCTGCACCTTCCTTATAGAATCCCCATTTCTCCCAAAATTGGGCTCCCAAAATCGCACCCCAAAGGCTCCGCGCGCCGACCGCGGTGCCCACGCCCATCCAGCATATCCCTGAAATTCTCCTCCGCGAGGTGGAACTTGGTACATTCTGAACCCAGCCCAGGCGAAAAAGATGCCAATAAGGCTGCCACCCAGTATGTCCCAGCCAGCATGCATATAGTCAGCATAACGAGTCGCGCAGATGAAAAGGGCCACGACGACCGGGGCGAAGACGAGCAAAAGCAGGTAAAGTGGCGGCGCTGCTGCCGCGGAGCGGAATGGTGTCTGGTCGATATTTGAAACGATGTCGGCATTCTCCTCCCCCGGTTCTCTCGAGGAAGTGACGCGGAATGGAACGGGAAATGTAACGGCAAACTTGATGCTAAGCCAGAGGGATAAGTAAAGTAAACCAGCTCAGGAAAATGATGAGTGACCAGAGGGAAAGGCCGTAATTCCACCTTTCACAATACTGAGATCCGTATTTTGGCAGGTGCTAATGTTGACGAGGATAGGCGCAGATGCCTCTTCTAGGCCAAGACCGCCAACCATGTACGCAGCAACGTTGGAGAGATCCTGGTCGCAGCGAGCAAGAAAGTCAGGACGAGGTTTTTCAACTACGTCCTTGAGACCAGAAGTGATAAAAAAGGCCCCCGCCAGACTCAGACCAAGACCTAACCATCCCGCATGCTATTCCCATAGCCGGCGGTTCCACACGCTCTTGGAGTCACCCGGACTTGATGCTTGTATGGTCGAGGAGGGAATGAGGAGGCAAAGAACAAAGATGACAACAGCGGGTACGCCGCAAGCTACTATGCCGACAATTGTGATAGAGATGGTATTCGCGACGAGGGGGTAGGATATCGATGGATCTTCGAGGGAAAATGCATGATTGTACCCGGGAATCTTGTACAAAAGACCACCAACACCGGCGACGATGCTTGATGGGCAGAATTAGTACTCCGTAACAGACCCCGAATTCGGACGAAAGACAATTGCACAAACACAATAATTATCCAATCAATCACGTAAGAAAAGATCAAACGCATAGAGGTTAGCCTGCTTGAAACCGAGGATGATGGCGCCTACCCGGTTCATATGGCATTATTAACAAAAAGTGATCCCAATTTCTCTGGCTCTTAAGTTATGTTGCATGATAATAGCTCACAGAGATCAAACGAATTGGCCCATATAACTCAGAATGGGGACAGAAGGGAGAAGGAATTGTGGCCTGGCCGATTTCAAAGCAATACCTATCTCACTGCTGAGTTTCAGACCAGGTCTAAGCCACGATGGACGCAAGGAAATTAAAACAAACGCTCTGCGGTAACTTCTTCCAAATAGGGTTCAGCTTTTCCGGTTCGGCTTTTCCTAACGTAGTAATAGTAATCGTGTTGCCTAAATGTCGGACATGCCTGGTGTTCAGTATTTCCAAAGAGGTCCTAGCCTGCGCCCTTGCCGACAGGAGCATGCAATTGAACGTGAAGGCGACTATGCACGATCATCTATCTATTCATGGCCTGCGTGGACTGGTACTGTATTGTACAGGGAAAACAAAAAGCTGATCGGCAGTCACATTTGCCCAAGCTTTCTGGCGCAAACGCGTCATTCAACGCACGGACCACTTGATAGCTTGTGCAACTTCCATTTTCGCGACCTGGATTATCAATTTCTCCGCCCTCCATGATCATCTCAGTGACCGGGATATTCAACAGGCTAGGCGTAGACCGTCAGGGTACTGTGTGTAAATGATTTTACACACGCACCCTGTACATCTATTATGGGTAAAGGAGGTGAAGTACTGTTCAAAAGTGAGTCCTCAGAAAAGTGTCACTAATGAAAGACTGTAGCTCAACGTCCGGTGGAAATTTGTCTCCTATTTGTCCACGCGGCCGTAGGGCAGAGCACCAGAAGATGGACTACCCACCATAGGTGATGCAGTGAGTGGTTATGACCACCAATTTTCATGCTTGCCTATAGTTCGCGACAAATATACCGAGTATCTACTTTCTCTAGTTCCTTCGATCGCTTGTTCAGAGCAGACAGCACTCAACAACTTGAATAGTTCCAAAGAGTATGTGGCAGCCACTCGTCTTCTATTTCGCTGCAGGCTTTAGACTGTCCGTTGGAGCTTCTGGCCATTGTTACTGTGTGAGTGGTCAAACAAATGCAGATGATGTATGGCCGTGCCAAAGTTATGTATTTGAAACCAAAAAAACGAGTGGATTTCCTGAAACTATCATTTAAGACGCAAATTCGCCTTAGAAAAGCTACTTTTGACTCTAAGGGCCATGATTCTTCGAAAGCCACGGTTATGTAGTCGCAGAAAGCCTGATCTGCATTTCTTGTACTAGCCTCATAATTATGCCCCGAACACTAGAATCGGTTCTGGTGTTCTGGGTGAGGATAGCAAATGAGCGGTACCGGAAGAGCCGCAGGTGAGCCGAGGGTGAGGATGATAGGATACGAAATTGGAACTGCGTGCCTTGACCACTATCCAATTTGTTTTTCTCATCCTGGTGGTGGAACGCACAGGTTAACCAGTTCTAGAGGGTGAGTAGACATCAACCTTCGTATATCCCTGACTCTCCTTTTAGGCTAAGCGAACTGTTTCAAATGTGGTAGTTCGTTTTCTACCGATCAATGGCCCAGTCAACGGAGAGAGTGATTCGGCTAAGGCGCAGACACCCGCCAAATCAGCCTCGCTTGAGCTATTCCGTTCTCGGCGGTTAAAGTAACTACGCTTGTTTCCCAGAATGAGCCTGCGAATCGAAAATGGTGTTGTAGTTTGTGGGGTGAGCGAAGGAAGATTAGGGAGATACATCCTCGGATCTGCAAAAGGACCACAACGGACCTTAGCTTGGATCGCAAACACATCCATGCTGCTTGATACCTGAGAGTGGTGACAAGAGGTGGCGCAAGCTGATTCCTACCTGTTCGGTGGTAGTGAGCAATTCACGGTCAGCATCGTCTAGCGGCCGACTCGTCAACAGCCATCTAACATTAGAATACTCTAGTCCAGTTCGAACAATAATCCTCAAAAACTCAGCCATCCCCTCCTTCCGATACTTATCAAGATCATCCACGACTACGTACACCTTCTGGTGCATACAATGGTTTACCATCTCTAAGAAGATATCCCAGAGTATTCACCACGAAGAAATGTTTTCTTTGAAGCATCCAGGGGTTGCATCCCAGCGGCGCTGAAGTAACTCTAGAAACTCTTTCCGCTGCCGTATTAGTTGCTGAATGAGGCCTTTAATGATCCCTTCAATGGAGTTGAGCTCATGATCAGCATTCTGGCAGAAGAAATTTGCGACAATTGAAGAATCGTCTTGTGAGAGCGGTAAAGTCACTCCCCCGATGGCAGAGTTATTATTTAGCAGTTTAACGATTTTGAAATATCGCTGGGCGATGCCCTCGATGTTATTGAATAGAGAACATGGCGATCAGACTCCTGAGATACTCCACTCATAGATCGTTACGCTGTAAAGAGCACTAGCCTATTGAGAAAGAGAACGTCCGGTTATGAAGGCCCGTGATAGATCAAAATAGGATAAAATGCTCAAACGCACGATCATACAAATGCAGTTTATTGCTTGGTTTGCTGTGCCGAGCCGGCGGAGCTCAAAGTTAGAAAACGATGCTGCCGGTTCTCGGTACGTAATATCTGTTTGCACGACTTTTCATAACAAGGCCGATAGCTTAACTTCGTTACACATCATACGAAATCAGGCTGTTGGCTACTGCCATTAGGAAAGGATATTGAAGATGATTCCAGCCCAGTGTGTGCTAGATTATCTGCTGAGTACCGTTCTTTCTGCGGTCAACGGCACCTCAAACTTGATGAATCTCTGATAGCAGAAATCGAGAAATTCGACGGGCTTCAGTCGAGACCTAGCTGAGTCTTTTAATTTCGGTTGATGACGTGTCTTGAAGTTCGTCGTCGACTGTAATCCAATTAAGAAAATTGATTGTATATTTTCGCCCCAATTGAAGCAAACTAATTGTTTACCTCCGTATATCGGCGAATCTATTTTAAAGCTCAAAAGCACATCAAGTCAGAACTAGTTACTTATGGCTGAGATCTGGAAGATCCTATATCAACTTATAGTTTTTACCCCTCATTTGGACCAGTATATTGGTCCTCATACCCCGAGACGGTCAAGTAAGTTAGAGAGAAGATTAAATAAGGCAAAAGAATGTGCTCATATTCTTCGTTTTCATTTTCATTCCTTTTTCCCTTATCAAAACAAATACTACAACCATGAAACCCTCATCCGCTATGATATTGGGCTTTAGCCTGGGATTTGCTGGCTTTTCGCTTGGCGGGGCCTCAAATCAAGCGCCCTTTGTAAACCTTATGACTCCGAAGCTACCGACCTACGCTTCCCAGAATGAGCAGCAGGCAGCGAAAGAAAGAAAAATCCGTATTTGAATTTGAATTGCTCTGCCAAATTTTGTCTGAATTAAGTCGTGGTTCACTTGTTGGCCGCTTTCCTGGATTTAAAGGACTGCTGCAACCTGCCATTGACCCAGGCCTGATAAGTTATCAGCCGGTTATGCAACCACTGCAGGGAAACTACACTCTCACGAGCTCTGACGTGCTAGCTGTTCTACCCCAGCAGTGGATTGCTGCCTTCATGCTCATATAAGTCAGTCCTATTTTCATCTAGTATACTCGCTTGCGGCTGATTTCGATATGGCTCAGGTACCCCAATGTGACGATGCAAATCCCAGCCCCCCACGCTGGGTCACTCGGAGCCTTGGAGCTTATCAAAGGAAACCTCGAGGGTGTTCCTGTTTCGCGGGAACTTAAGCCCAGTGATATCAACGGCTTTTCTGCCAAATTTGGTTATCCCCCTACTTCTATTCCTATTTCCGGTGGGTCATATCGGCAATATGGCTTCTTGGATGCTATGTCGTTCATCGTGAACAAAGAAAATCCCAGTCGAGCACCTCATATTTGATCAGCTCGACTCTACTTTCAGCACTACCCGCGCCCGTGGTGGCACAGCCATAACGACTTGGGGCCAGCTAGGGATCGGCGGTGAGCTTGGCAAAAGCTCTATCAATATTTACGGTATTGAGCCGTGGAATGGATTTGAAGAGTTCATCTGCCAGCGGGTGCTCAGTTACAATGGTACTAGGGGCGAATGTACTTTTTCCTACACTTTGTTTTAATTGCCGCGGAGAAAGGGAGCTGGTGTGCTGACTTGAATTGTTCACAAGGGCGCTCCGGCATCGCAGTAAATAATACTGCCAAAGATCCTCATGTCACTTGGGATGCTACTGTCTTCAACATGTCACGTCACGTAGCCAACGATCCTGCTGGCCTTACGTATACGGGGCTTGCTTACATTGACCATCCAGTCAAGGTACTGGGCACAGCCAATCAGACCAGTGGCAATATTGTGACCCCTACCTATGAAAGCATTGCTATGGCAAGTTGGCCGCTTGCGCGAGTCATTTATTTCAATCTGAACTCGCCTCCCCGCAAAAGTATGGATCCAGTGTTGCCAGAATTGGTCAAGTTCGTTCTTTCCAAAGAAGGTCAACAGATTCTTCTGGACCAAGGCATTTTCCTTCCTTTTCGAAAGTTCCAGCAAAGCTCGAGCTTGACTCTTTTGTAAATTGAGTGAAGATTACCGGGGGTTGAAGGAACAAAGAGAATTATCATTCTTCAACCATGGGACTTCGTCTCATATGTTCAAATTGAATATGCTTGATTCTAGAGATCAGGACTCGAATTCATGTTTTGTTTATAAATCGTATTTGTTTGAGAGTGGTGAGAATGTAAATAGTGGTGTTTTCGACATGATGTGCTTCCGGAACTGTGAAGGATACTAACGGTTGTACATAATGTCCAAATTGACCTGTCTCGTTACGAGGATTAGAAGGGACGGAATTATGTCAAAATGATTGGATGCATATAAGCCGAAGGCAACAAACGATACAGGTGAATTGGATTTCCCAAGACACAAGTCTGGACGCATGCAAGGTAAGCGGACTTCCCCGCATATAATTGTAGAACTATGTAAGCCGAGTGGATCTGCTTAATAATTACTGAATACACGTAACGATGTTGGGAGCGGAATTACCGGACATAACTATGGATGAATGTAAGCTGCTTGCCGAGAAAGATGAATGGTGCTTTGATGCGGATCGATTTTTATTCCAGAAGTCAGCGGAATGGTTTTGTTCTTTGAAGCGGATCGCTTCTTTGTCTTGTTCCCTTCCAATCCACGTTGGTCAACGACTTGGTCTCCAATTTTCACTACGACCAATTCGTCGTTCTTACCAGTATAGAAGGTACGTTTAGCGTAGAGTGAATAGGCCAGCAAGGTGGAAATATGTCCTTTTATATAGATAGTCGCCGCGTTATAAGCGAGTGTGTGTTTGAATTCAACGGAATAGTCGAAATGTCGACTGAGCTAGGGCCCACAAATACGTGTACTGTGAATTAGTGGGCTTGAGACGGCTACTGGAATATATATAAAAAAGCTAGAACACCAGCAATATACATGTTGGGCTCATGAGAATGTCCACCACTTGAAATCGCAGTCGACGTGGGTTTCGCAGAGGTCGTTGCATTCAGGGTTCCCGAACTCGCAATTGTCAGATTGTAAACCACAATCCCCTCCTTCTGAATGGGTACAGCTACCAGGTTGTTTTGCACATCAACTGCCACTGAATGAGCCGTGGTATTATCCGTAGCCCAAGTTTGGATCAACGTATTGTTTGCCGCATCAATCACAGCGAGTTGAGGGTTGGGTTTGCCAGACTTGTTCCCGCCAGCAAGGTTTTGATATGCCGAAGCGTAATACAACATCTTTGTTGGATTATATACAACCTGGTCGATTCCAGCAATGCCGGAAATATTTGCAATAACTTTCCCCGTTGCAATGTCGAGAACTTGGCTACGGGCCATTCCGTAGTCGAGAATCTGATCCTGACTGCAGCCGACAAAAAGATTTTGCATTGGTCCAAAAGCAATCCCCGCCGGAATACACTCTGACAACGGGATGACTTTGGAGATACTCTTGCTCGAAACATTGATTTCGGCAATCTCCCCGCCGGGGTTGGTGTCCGTACTCGGGACAGAAACATAGAACATGCCATTGACAGCATTGAATGCGGGCTGCTCTAGTCCCGAGGCATTATGAAACAGAATGCGGCCGGACACTTCGCGCTTTGCTGCTGATATGATGGTAACGAAAGGGGGATCATCGTTAGGGTTGGTAACGACGACAGTTTGGGTTTGTGGGTCGTATGCAAACTCATCCGCGCGCTTCGTTGAGCCAGTAGATATGTTTGAAACGATGTGGCCCGTTAACAGATCGATGACCTTCACCGAACCATCACCGTCACCAACATACAGTTCATTGAGGTTTGGCAAAACGATGAGCCCATCCGGTCCACTTATCGAGGAGTCAGTTTTGTTCTTCGTGTAAGCCTGCCCCTTGAAACCTGATATAGGTGGCTTATTTTGGCTCGTGGACAGGTCAACGACATGAACCATACTGTTGGTACGATCTGCGAGGTAGTATGTGCCGTTGTACACCGTGCTCTGATCCACGCTTGAGGGGGCCTTCGGCGTCCATGGGATTGTCGATGCAATCTCATAAGACAAACACCTTACGCCGGTGAACAGACCGAAAACAGAAAGGGCAGCGAATGCCCTCATCTTGGCAAAGAATGGGATGAATCAAGTATAGAATGAATAGATATTATCAAGGATTCGAGGTAGAACTTGTTTTGAAAGGTATATGTCCTTTTATTTGCCGAAAGATTAACGCGGGCCTTATATACATTTTGCTTTTGGTTTCTGGCCCTTGGGCTGTTTTAATTTTTAAAACTATGTCCGGTTTCCGGAGTGTTCTTATTTTCTTCTTTACTCGAAGAGTCATGATAGGGGTTGAGATTCCTCCGAACGCGGCTGATATTTGCCGTCTTACACAAGTACATTTTAAGGTTTGGTGGCTTTTAAAACCCTGCAAGGGCACCCTACTCCCTATTGTAGGAAGTCGTCAGGTTGGAGGTATTCAGGTTTACCTAGAATCTATGTTCAACGGATGATTGGTTCCATGACAATCCAGGGAAATTGTCAAAAGTTTTAAGTTCTCCCCCGCGTTTTCTGGTCCAAAGCGCTGGTAACTTCCGATGGATCAGAATGCCAAGTCTAAGATTTCTTGAACAAGCGGAAGGAGCTACGTCCTATCCTCTATCGAGAGGGAAATACGCTCATACCACTGCAATAATATTTAATCCTGTAGTATAATGCATTATTATGTCTTTCAGCGATTCAATATTGAATGACATACCGTGTTCCCTGCTTTTTAGAGTTACGGCAAGCTTTTCGGGCGATGCTAAGTTAAGCTTGGATTTTCTTGGCATAATCAGTCTCCGAGGATGTGTGATTTTCTACATATTTTCCAAAGAGGGAATTGATAACCTAGAAACTAATTGGTGTCGTACTGGAAATCAGAAACGGAATAATGTCGAAGAAATGGTAAACTTAGGACAAGAACAGAAATTGAGAATTGAATATTCTGGGTGTTTGAGCGTTCCCCCAGGGGCTATAGATATGGTAAGGACGAGGCCCGAACAGCCCTTGGATAGTGCCACATGCGTGGCAAGATTCCGGAGGAAACATTTGATTGGTTCAGACCGCCGGAAATCAAGCCACATAGGGTCTGGCAGGGTGTGGACACCTAGTGGTAGCCTGTTGCTTGAATTTGCGGATTACGATTGGCGATGGTTTTAATTATTAAAGGCCCAAATGATTGGTAAAGGTTTATTCTAGTAGATATTGCAACATGGGGAGCATCAATTTACCCGTCGGATCTCGTATGGGGGCCCAAGTTCCAACCCTGCCGAATAGCTCCACGGCAATATGTCCTAATCATCGGCCACGTAGGCAAAGGCTCGATGCCAAGGCCAAAGAACTGCCGAGAAAACATGTAACCACGGCTGGCAAACCTAAATTATCCTCGACCCCGCTTTCTCACCCTGATACCGAATTCAGCGATACTCTTCGCCTGGCCATTCTACCCTACAGGAATAATATTGCGGGGTATTGTATGAACAGGAAATCAAAATCGGCTATAAATCGCCGATATCGCTAATGCAAGATCCTCGATAAAAGGAATGGCGGATTCCAATTTCTAAGTCCCGTGGCATTTGCGAGGCTCTTGGAATAATATTTCCCCCTATCAAAGCGATCGTGAGACAATATCACCATGTATCGGAAGTTGCTCCAGTCCACGCCTAGGGAGGCACTTAACTGGAAGCTCTTTTATGCAGTTATTTGCTTTGGTCTTATGGGCGCCGCGCGAGGTATGAGCCTTTGGGTTTTACTTATCCCGAAAGCTATATCTAATCTTTCACAGGCCTTGATGAGGGTCTTATATCCGCGACGGTCGCGCAGAAGTCCTTTATTGTTGAATTCGGATTGCAAAGCAAGTCCCTTAGCAAGTCTGCACAAGCCAATATCTTGTCCAATGTCACCTCTATGGTTCAGATAGGGAGCGTGGCTGGATCACTTATTGCCTTCTTGCTTTGCGATAGGATCGGCCGACTATATGCCACCCGTGAACTATGCGTCGTGTGGATTATTGGAGTCATCGTCTTCATTACGGCCAGAGGCAATATTGGACAAGTTTACGCTGGCCGATTTGTCATGGGCCTTGGAATTGGGCAGACGACCGTTGTTGCGCCTACCTATCTAGCTGAGACAACACCTCGATCCATTAGAGGCCTGTGTATCTGCATGTTTTCGGGATCTGTCTATCTCGGTATCATGTTGGGAGTAAGCTTTTTTATTTGCTTTCTTTTTCACCGTGAAAATTCCATACTGACGGTTGGTGAAGTACTTTTCTAGCTGGGGTACTTCATTACATATTTCAAATCAAAGCCCGAAACAGTGGTTCATTCCCCAGACTATGCATATTATTTTCGCGGGAATAATCTTGCTTATGTCCTTGTTTGCGAAGGAGAGCCCGCGATACTTGCTAAAGATGGGACAACGGGAACATGCCACTGAAAACATGACCTACCTTCGCAATCTCCCCGCCGAGCATCCTTATATCCAGACAGAGCTTATCGATATCAATGATCAACTGGAGCGTGAGAGAGAAGCTACATTAGGCAGTGGCTTGCTAGGACCTTTAAAAGAGCTTTTTTTCCTCCCTTCCAACCGGTACAGAATCATGGTCGGCCTCATGGCACAACTCCTCGGCCAGTGGTCTGGGGCCAACTCAATCACAAGTCAGTTATTCAAATTCTAGGTCTCCAATATCCTGCAATTTTCATACCACTAATCGAAAAATGCGAACAGTTTATGCCCCCGAATTCTTCGCGCTTCTTGGTACCACCGGCCAGTCGGAGAAGTTATTTGCGACAGCGATATTTGGCGTTGTCAAATTTGTCTCCGCTCTTGTTTGCGCCTTATTTCTGGTTGATATTATTGGACGCAAACGATCTCTGACCTACGGAATCATTCTTCAACTTATTTCTATGCTATATATAGCCATCTATCTTACTGCATTGCCATCTGTTACCGACGAGAAGAATAAGAGCGCTGCCACGAGCCATGCAAGCACAGGAGCAGTAGTCTTTATTTACTTCAGTGGCGTTGGCTGGGCCCTTGGCTGGAATTCGATTCAATATTTGATCAACGCTGAGATCTTTCCTCTGCGGGTCAGAAGTTTGGGTACAAGTCTGGTCATGTGTTTCCACTTCATCAATCAGTATGCAAACTCTAAGGTGAGTGCTTCCATACGTTCTATTCACACTCTTGCATAATTACTTAACATTGGACCTTAGGCCGTTCCGTCGATGCTCTTGGAAACATCCATGAAACCTCAAGGCACCTTTTGGTTTTTCTCGGCCATCACATTTATTGGCCTTCTTTGGGTTTGGTTCTTCCTTCCTGAGACAGCAGGAAAGAGTTTGGAAGCCATGGATGAAATGTTCAGTCTTCCGTGGTATATTATTGGAAGAAAAGGCGCCGCCATGACTGCTGGTCAGGGCTCCGTTGCGGAGGCATACAGTGGTGCTGATATGGAAAAGATGGCCAATATCGAACAAGCTGAACACAGGGAAATTGCAGCACCAGGTGGACATGTAGTCTGAAATTTTGAGTTGAGAAACTGAGACGTAAGTCGCGTTGCTCTCATATGGACGACCAAGTAAAGCTAAGCAGTCTCACTTGAAGGGGACTTCAGTTGCTGTTTGCAGATGATGTAAACTTTCGCAAATGCAAGGAAAGGCTAGCTTCGTTGTTGTATTCACAATCAGTTGTTCTTTATTTGTTTCATTTGTGCCCCTAAGGCACTTGACCTACATTCATACGAGACTGAGACTACACATAGGGCCTTGGCAAGTGAGGGAATATAATAAATTAAGGCGGATATCTGAGCAGTTCTTGGAGGTCTATCCCAAGGGACCTGGTGCAGTCTACTAGAATGCACGGCAGTGAGAAACTCTTAAGTATAGGCAGTATTCGCCCCACTAAGTAGACTGTAAGTAATTTCTTTCGTTTGATTAACCTTAGATTTTCATAAGTTCTAAGTTTATATATAATCTATTACTAACCCGATTTATAGTCTCTATAGTCTTCTATAGTAGTTGTATAAGTTAACCCTAATTTATCTAAAACTCCCTACTATTTTTGTTAGGGTATAACCAGAAAGGCCTACCTTTTGGTTTTAGATCTACTTCTAAAATTTTGTAATAGATCTTATATTCATCGTGCATTGTTCAACGGCCCTCAAATTACTGTCGGGTAATCAATAAAGGATCCACGCTAAGGCCTTAGCAGTGGGGCTCGAGAAGAGAAAAGCGACCAGAAGGGTAGAAGCTGTTTTCGCTATCGACTGTATCAACACGCCAACACACTACTTACTCAGTGTCGAAAACTCCGCATCTCACTACGTCGAGACAAATTTTACCGACACTACTAGCCAGCATAAACATGCATTGACACCAAGGGAAACTCTTTGGGGTTTCAGCCGCCACCCAGATTGGCCACCACGCTGCCATACACTGGGATAGTAGCCGGCTCACGACGCGATTTATTCTTAGGGTCTACCGGTCAAAATAGATTCTGGCTATTACTTCAGCATGTGGCATGAAAATAAATTTTGCGGCATTTTCGAGTATCGCGTTGAGTATTTTCGTGTCAGCATCCTATATAACATCACAAATCTCGAAAGTACCACGCAAGCACCGATGCCGCGATCTTTTCCGTGAATCCATTTTGCCGGTTCAGCTCTGGGTGATCATCCTGGGCCGTCCGCCAGACAGGCAATTGAGACGGTAAATGGAGAATCTCCCTAAGCGACCATCCCAAGACTTGTCTCAAGAAACACAATGCATTGAAAGAGCCGCCTCGGGACGCTAAAAAACACCACCGAAGCCACTATGAACGATGCTTGGGCCCTATAGCTCGGATGATTTATGGCTTTGCGGAACGTAAGGCCCATCCGAATCCCTTGGCGATTCTGAGACTATTCTCCCACTCAACACCGTGCGTTACCTGGGCAGTTTGCATCGATACAAGCCTCGGAGAAAATTTCCAGCCTGACCTAGCCATTGCTAGAGGGTATATTTCGAGAACAGGGCTTGAAGATTACCCTACTTGATCTTTCGGAGATATATAAAGCTTTAGAAGCACCCCTTCCGTCCATTCTAGAATGACTATGGCATAGCGTCGTGCTCGAGTCACAAAAATTCACTAGAGAGAAATTCGAAAACAGTTTACTCATCGGACACACTTTTTGTTTCTTGGCTTGTACCCGTCACAAAGCTGAATTTTAATAGGATGACCGGTGAAACAATCACCAATCATTTGCAGAATAGACTGGAAGACGCGCGCGTTGCACGTTTCGGCCCTGAAACGAAAGCGAAAAGGAAATAGAGGAATCCCGGTAAATTATCTAGAGCATAAGTCCGTAAAAGCTGAACAATGAATATTGAGTATCTCGATGATCAATAGCTGCTACGCATTCCAAATGCAGAAGACGAACTATACAACAACATTCGGCCTCAGATCTGCTGAATTCTTATGGCTTCAGGGAATCCGCACCGACATGTGTATATCAGCAGCTTGGCAGCACCATCGATTTTCGAAAGCTCATACTCCTATTCGAAGATTATTGGTTTTATTTGCTAGTTCCTCACTCGCTGTACGTTCGTGGAGGGCAAGGAAAGCTCCTCTGGTCCGAGCAATATTTGACCAGTTGATGAAACAGCTTGAGTACCAACCTGTCGAGCCAGAAACCAATGCTCGTTCGTCATTATCAGCTGATGACCAAGATGGGCCATCTAATCCCCAAAAGTCATTTGCCATCGCGCGTGTGCAGATGTGTGCGTAGGTATTCGCGTGCGGGAGACTGGTCAAATACATATTTTGTCAGCGGATACATGGGGCTTTGGGCCTTTCTTACTTCGCAATCGGTATGTAAAATACATGACATCATCCCGCAGGCAGTACGCTGACTAGTTAACTAGTCAGAGCTCTCATTAACTAGTTACTTTATACCATCTACCACTCTATCACGAATACCATCAGGAAGAACTGAATATATAAGGACCCTTTTTCGCATCATGTATTTAATTCTTCGCGATAAATTGCACATTATTACTTGCTTACTACCTTTCGTACCCTTTTACAATAACGATTTAAGGTAACTATTGCCCTTTCCACTCTAACTCACAGTGACCAGTCAGCTCCGCGTAACAAGATTGATGCCGTTTGTGATTTATCCAATTCTATGTCTCGGCCTCTCGACTTTCTCTGGTATTTGGCGTATTTACAATGCATTTCAAACTTATTTTATTTTTTGGATTTAAGATCCTTATCGAAGTAATGACTATCATCACTCTACACATGATAGATTTCTTATTTTAGTCTTACCTTGCTTATTCTTTTTCTGCTTCAAAGGAAGTAACTGTGCCGCCCATTCTCAGAAGATCAAAGTGTGGCCTCGAAGATTTTTCCAACTATTAGGGATCCAAATAGACGAGGTGAGCCGGTGGATTGCAGTGATATGGATGGACTCCCTAGGATGCCGGACGGCTACGCCGAGCCCGACTTCCGAATTTCCGGGGAGATATGCAAAGGCGACAATGGAAGGTTTCAGTGGGACTATGGATACAAATGCTGGTATACGCGGACAATCCAGGGTCTCATTAACTCTCATAGTCCCATGCAAGTCTCCGGTTCCACAGTTAACGGTGCCGGATGTAAGAAGCTTGGGTGCCATGAAGGTGCACAAGTCTGGATTTGCAATGATGTGAGTATCTACTGCACGTTTCTCTCATTGTCCTCCTCGCTTGTATGAGCTAGCCATTTGTAGTCCTATAGCTTACCATCTTCAAGAACACCCGTGACATTTTAGTCAACTCCCTCGACGTTGGCTGGGTAGTCGATGAAATGATGAGTACCCCAGGGCCGCAAGGCTCTGGCAGTGTTGGTAGCCTTAGATGATAATGTTCGCATCATCTCGGAACCGAGGAAGATTAGGATACTGCTTCGATGGTTAGTGACGCTGTTACTCAGGAAGTGGCTCTTATGAGCGGGATGGACGAAACGCAAATTGTCCCATAACGAAGATATCTCTTCTGAGCCCAGATGATCTGAGCGACTGACCAAAAGAGCTAGAACTTTGCGGCGATATTGAAGCAGCTTTGCTTTTGGTAGCTTAGAGATTCATTATTCCATTCGATAGAGATAGGATTTCCCTCAATCCCATTCTTCCTCTAGGGTGGTTTATCATCATCCACATTGATCTGCAAACCTTGATTTTTCAGCCTTAACATAAGAGACACTTAATTAGTTAACTTCTCTAGATGCGCTGATCTTATTCGTGGATGACTGAAGTGTAAGCCCGAAGAAATGCAGACCAGACTCATACGGGCTCCATCGCATGCAGTCACATTTTCAAGGCAACAAAGAGAGCTGAATCCAGGAAAGATGGATCCCTCCTGAGTGTTCTATTAATGCATATCAGTGTATTTGCCGAAATAATGATCCTTTTTTTACCAACAGTTCCTGTGTACTCCCACGCAGGCCGTCCTCTCTTTCCTGCCCTAGCTGACTACAACAACTTTAAAAACACTCTTCTAGCTACGGCACCAAGTTTCCCTGCTTCCATCGGCCCTTTCCTTTCTCTTATCCTTCTGGCCTTAGGCGTTACTGTTCTTCAATAGTATCTGTAGAACACCTCGGGTCTGGGGTCTGACCTCTCGACAGGATCTTTCATTGGTGTGAATGTAGCCATTTTGGTATATACTAATAAAAGTGGACGAGACTTGCCATGTAGCGTTATATATGCGGAATACTTGAAAGCCAATCCGGAGTAACGTAAATATTCTCCGGAAGGGCTCTCAATGATGCCAAAGTAAGAGCGAAAATCCCAAGCCGAGTGAGCATATAGATATAGACAAAGAAGTTTGGAAGAAATTCCTCAAACTGTGTCCTCCGTTGGGTAGGATCGCCGAGGCTTTCCATGCACGAGGGAAGTAATTTCTTCTCCCCTAACCACACTGTGACCAAGGGCCATTGGTCCAAAACGCCAGGCGCCATTCCAGCTCCCACCCCGATTAATGAGAACACTCGCCAAGCTGTTCGTTCGGCAATGGTTGGGAAAATGAAATTCCAGCTATAGGTTATACAAGTCAGCCTTGAATATCCTAGGTAATAATTTGAAGGAATGCGATGAATTTAGGACCTGCACCTATACAGTATGCAGAAGGAAACGGGGAGGTCTTACCCAGCAATATGAACGGCGCCAAAAGTGATAACCAGCAAAGTAGCGAAACTGACATTCAAAGCTTTTGCACCGTGGGATAGGTCGTCCTCTGTAGATTTAGGAAGGCGTTCAGGTTCATAAGCAAGTACGTACGGTTTTTTGCGGTATGAACTTGTGGAGAGAGGGCTTTTGGTAGCGTGACTGGCGGCGGCATTCTGGGCAATTATGTCGGCTCGTAACTGGATGCAGCTTTTTGGACTTGCGTCCATGACTTGCAGAATCTCAACTGGTAGATCGTCTCGGTTACATTGCAAGGGTATAGCGATCGACGTGGTCATATCCTTCGGCTTAAACCACCAAAAGCCGGCAATCAGAAGCCCCAGGGCCACGTATGCGACGGTGGTCAGCTCCAGCGGAGAGATAGGCAGCGAGTATACTACGCGTGCGATGATGTTGCAGGTGACCCAGGCGCTTTGGACAACCGTAAATAATTTCCCCAGAGTATCCACCTTGGCTTGATCCTTGATGTCCTCATCATCGAAGTCGGAGCCTTTGACAAGGCCCGCACGTACAAATACGCCAATGGTTTTTCTGGAGATGGTAAAAAGCCACGCGTCTTGGGTTTGCACGGCCAAACCCCCCATATTTATACAAAAGCCTTGTCTAGTAGTCCACTTCACAGGGACTGGCCGCATTTGCACTTGACGATTCTGTGGGCCTTCTGTCTGTTGTGATAGCGTTGGTCGTCGGCTCACTTCATAATTCACCTCGGCTTGGATAGCATTGCAGTAAATGGCCAGTTGTCTCGCGCGAAAGTAATCCTCCACGGCAATCCATGCCACTAGTTCCGGGCATAGCACAGAAATCAGCCAAACCAGGACTTTTTTCGGGAGGCGAGAGAATTGATCGCCTCGAGAGTTATGGTGCCTCCTCGGTGGGACATTCAAACATAGAACCGTCCATGTGCAGGCGAAAATCGTCGACAAACACGTCCACACCAGGTCCCACGATGAGCGGCTCTTGTCGTCAAACTGCCAGCCTTCCAGCTTTGATGTGCTGGAGGCTAAGGAAACCCTTGAGAATACCAAAAAAGGCAGGAAGATAAACATAATGTCAGCCATACGGGGGTCATCTCACCATTTATAGTCGCCTTGAAAAATAGAAAGAAAAGTTATCAGGTACACAGTGAAATAAAAAGGGGTTTCACCCTGGTGCTAGCGCGAGGTGCGGGGTTGCCCTATCCCAGAGTACCGGGTGCAGTGGGCCTAACTGCAAGTCGGTAAGAGTACTTAAATATGGGCAGAATTAGACCTACTCGACCCTACTGTACTTTACTTTCTTGACCTGACTGTAAGCACTTTTTTTCGTATAATCAGACTCAAATTTTTACAAGTTCTAAGTTAACTAATTCCCTCTATTATATTTTAGTTTTAGTCTCTTTAGTTACTTCTAGCACTGGTATAAGCTAACCCTAAATAGCTAGTTCTAAGAATTATTTTTAATAGGGTACGACCGGAAAGGCCTACTTTTAGCCAGTTAGCCCTATATTTTGATAGATCTAAAATATACCCCTAAATATATATCTTTAACCTATAGACTATTCTTTCTTTCTTTAACTCTACTAATATAACTACTGAATTTCTTTGTATAACTAAAGAACTCTTTACTACTCTTTTTCTATATCTAATCTTAGGGTGTAAGTAGACATCGCCAGAACCCATGTCAACCATGACCCAACCCAACCCAACCCAGCCCAAAATGGGTTTTGGGTCCAATTCTATAACCCATTGATGGGTTTTGGGTTGAGACCCTTAACCCAAAACCCACATGGGGACCCAGTGGGTCCCCATTTTGGTGTAAACAGGATAAATATGCCAAGCTTTTAAATACGGTCTGTATAAGGTCTGTTTTTAGGCCTTATATATAGGTACTTTTGGTTTTTTATTTAATATTATTATTATTTTATATTGAATATATATATATTACAGGTTAAAAGGGTTAAAAAAGGTATATTAAAAAATAAAATAAATTACAGAGTTCTATAGTAAAGATAGTGGTATACCCTACTAGATTATATATATATCTTTATGAAAAGTCTTACTTTTTTAATAACTTTTTTAATACTTAATATTTAGATCCTAAAATTTAAATATAAAATAATTAGTATTATATAAAGCTATATATAAAATATTAAGATCTAAATCCTTCTAGAAAAAAAAGATATAAAAAGATATAATGTTAGTATTTGAATACACAACATAAAAATTAAGAAAAATTATGTAAAAATTATGCCAAAATGGGTCCAAATGGGTCGAAATGGGTTACCCATTTATAACCCACTGGGTTTTGGGTTGGGTTGGGTTCTAGCTACTATAACCCAAAACCCAGTGGGTTGGGTTTTGGGTCGGTATGTTCAACCTAAAATGGGTTATGGCGATGTCTAGGTGTAAGCTATATTAAATAGCTGTATAACTAAACTAGATTACTACTTATCTCTAATCTGCCCCTTATAAGTATAATATTCTCTTTTGTATTATAGAGGCTATCTAGAAGTATATTCTAGCTTAGTAGCCAGAGATTAGTAAGATATTTAATTATAGTAAAATAACTAATGTAATGGGGATTTCCGCTCTCAACATCGGTACCCTAGGGTCAGGTGACAGAAGCCTTAGTAACAAGGCTTCTGCTTTGTTTCAGGAGAATAAGTAGCGTTCGTTCTAGATTATCAATTTAATATATATGTTCCCCCTTATGAAAATGTTCTACTGAGGCTGCTGAGGTTGCAGTATCGATATACTGCGTATGAAAGGTTCTGTTACTGCTCGTTCTGTTGATTCTCTATAGCGTTACGTTTGTCTATCGTCTCCTTGTACTCTGCGAGTACAGTGGTGTTGTCTCTTTGCGATCAACCCGTCTGCCAACGCAGACAGCCTACGAGTATTCCTATCTTATATATGGCGTCCCCGGGAAGGCTTGATTAACAAAAGGGTGGCTGAAAGCAAGAGCAATATTATTGTGAGAAGTAGGTACTGCTTTTGACCCTGAGAGAATACGACGGTATTCGAATATATTACAAAGGGTGAAGAGCGGCTTAATCCTAGGTAGGATTAGCCTATTAAATGTTTGAAATATCAGCCGAAAGGCCTATCGAAATGCCGCTATCTGCAGAATATCTGTAGTTTTTATGATCAACGCTTGCTAATTAGTATACAGGAGATGCTATAACACTGGAAGGAATTTTACAAATGATACTGGGTTAATTATATAAGATAGCGGTTTAGAGATGTCCTAGTATTAGCTATGTCTGGTATTCAGCGCTATCTAATATTCTGTTATTATTTACGCTACGTTATTTATTAGAAAAAGGATTACTGTCGGAACGGTATTAATTGCTAACAGTTGTATTATTATTATTATTACCCTAGAGTACGGAGTCTTCTGTTCTCTATTCGGTATTATTCTCTTCGTCTATATTTTTATCTGTTTCTGTTTCTATCTAGAAATTATCTTATCAGGCTAATCTATTCTCTGATACTATATCTGTTTATTGTTCTTATTCCCTAAAACCTCGTTTTCCTGTAGGAAAATAATCTTCTAAGACTATAGCTATCAATAACGGCAGAAATAATAGTAAACTTCTGAGCGATATAGCTATACCTATTACCGCTGCGGAATAGTTTACTTAGTTTTACAAACTGCTTTCTAAAGCTTCTAGATTAATAATCAGGGAACCCTCTCGTCCTGTAAGTCCTAAAACCGCTGTAAGACAGCCTCCTCTATCCTCTCCTATACCGATAATGCCGTTACAAGATCCTATACTGCTTACTTAGTATTATACAGTTCTGCCACCTTAGCCAATATATTAAATAATATATAGCGCAATACCAGCCCTAGAATCTTAGGGAGCCCCTGCTTTTAACGAAACTAATGCATCTGATTTCCTTAGAAAGCTAGAGGATACCTATCGTCGCTGTAGTATTGTCCGTTATAGGGTAATTATAGATCTGCTCCCTTAGTATTATAAGAGACCTCTGCGTATCTAGGTTAAAGGCTAGGTTTTATAGAAGATATAAGATTAAAAAACGTTCTGTAAGGACTTTCTAGTCTAGACTAATATTATAACTAGGACAGTAAGCAGTTAAGATATAATAAGTAATATCTTAATAAGCTTGCTAAGGAAGATTAATTATTAAATAATAAGATTAGACGCTATCTTAGCAAGTTTTATTAGGTCTCTACAGAGGTATTCTAGCTCGGTCGTATAAGTAATAGTAAGTAAGCTAATATATTGATTAAAGGTCTTCTAGAGAAATAGTAAGTAAGGATCCTAAAGCATTATACAGTAAAGGTATATTCTTATTATAATAAGATCTCTTATAACGAGGTATATAAATAGGTTCAGATAAACCTGTATATCAAAGCTAAGGTCTATCAAAAGGTCAAAAAGAAGAATAACAGAGATACTTCGCTGAATATAATTAAAGGTATTAAAGAATACTAGTAGGTATACTACTACTGGCTAGCCCTCTGCTTATCTAATCTCTTAATATAATATAAGCTTAATTAATATACTCAGAGGGTTATCTGTCAGCGGCTCTTCTGTTAAGGGCCCTCTTCAGACTTCTTTATAGTTTAGTTAGCCGTATATATATAATATCTGTAGTTAGAGACCTTATTAGTAGATACCCTTCTTAAATAGCTTAAAACCCAGTACTAGTAAATATTCTGCCCGTCTATCTATATAATTAAGTCTACTAAGATTAATAAGGCTACTCTCTGGCTCTGCTGTATAAGGTGGACGTAATACCTATCCTAAAAGGGTTAGGGCTTTAGGACCTAAAGCCCAGCGTAGACATCGCCATAACCTTTTTATCAGGCGTGGAGCGCTTCGCCATGAGCGTCATTTTTAGTGCGTGCTATGGTGTCCGCCTGGAGAACCTGGAGCACCCAATTATGGTGATGTTTTACTCCATTTGGGAAGAGATGCTTAAGTGTTAGCCTTATTCTTTCAATCTTTATGTAAATTGATGCTTATCTTATGACAGACTTCCAGCCTGGTTCTCTTCTTCTCGATTTCTTCCCCATCCTGCAGCGCCTGCCAAAGTTCATGCAGCCTTGGATGAAGCTGGCAGATTCATTGCGAGCCAGAGAGATCAAATTACATCGAGCATTTCTTCGTACCCTAAATAAACAGGTCCAAGATGACAATGCTCCAACCTGTTTCGGCACTCTATTAGTTAAAGTAAGTTATCCTCACAAGCTGAAGGCTTATTTCCAGTTCTTACGCACCGAATATCAGATCCAGGAAAAGGAGGGTATCTCAGATGAGCGTGCATGTGACATCCTTGCTATGTTGACCGGAGCTGGGGCGGATACCACCTCGTCGTCCCTCCAATCCTTCTTTAAAGTAATGGCATTGCACCCAGAAGTTGCCCTAAAAGCCCAAGCGGGTAAGCCTAACTTCTGCGTTATTTGAATCTGTTAATAATTACTGAATCGAATCAGAGCTCGACTCTGTGGTCGGTCAAGACCGTCTCCCCACATGGGAAGACGAGCAAAAACTATCCTACGTCCGCGCCATTATCAAAGAGGTGCATAGATGGGCTCCTATCGGTAGCCTAGGAGTCCCCCACGCCACCTCCGACTCAGATGTCTATGAGGGAAAGCGAATTCCGAAAGATACAATTATCTTCCCCAACCTGACGAAACTTTCTCGTGATAGTGAGCGCTATGAGGAAGCCGATTACTTCCTTCCAGAGCGTTTCCTAGGCGATAACCTGGACGCATCATCCTCTGCTTTGCATCCCGACTGGAAGGTCCGTGACCATTTCCATTACGGTTTTGGTAGACGACTTTGCCAAGGTATTTTCGTGGCCGAAGCTAGCTTGTATATTGCCGTCAGTCGCCTTTTATGGGGATTCAATATTACACCCGTGGAAGGAGAAGCGTTGGACATGGATGCCAAGATTAGTATGTTGTCACCTTTGTGCATGGGAGGCGTGAAAGATGGAAATAGTTTAAACTAATCTTCTCGTTCCTACCACCAGCTGGCCTTGTAACAAAGCCTCAACCTTACAGAGTGTCCATCAAGAGTCGCAGTCCCGGCCATGAGGATTTGATGAGGAAGGAGAGGGAAATCGGTAAGACGGATATTTTGAACTTCGACAATGTGAAGTTGGAATATTAGTGGACTTGAAGCGGCCACGGTTCTTTATGAGTGATGGTGTGGTAAGGAGCTATATTATTGGGACCAGGACAAAGTATCGCAGTTCTCTATAAGATTATACGAGATTGCCCCCCGGGTCACCGCTAAGAATTCTCCGTGAACTCTGTTATGACAGCTAAGGGTTCAATATGTTTATGGGGGCTGTTGACTGATTGTTGTGGTACTACTCGTGACCAACCCCTAAAATGACAAACTTTTTGCGTAGCATCGAGTTTGATAGACAAAGTTAGACTGTAGCTTAGGCGAACTTTTTCTCTATATTCTGTGGACAAACATTGCTACATAGAGAACATCTGATGCCAGATGGTTGGATATTAAATATATTAAATCAACACAAACCTAACTCACATATATTATAAACCAGTAGGATACTTAACTGCGCCTTTTTAACATGAAAAGAATAGCAAATAAACCATATCGCCAGAAAATTAATTGAAAACAACCGGGAGCCCTCTATATTTTCCCTTCTTCTCACTTTTCCTTTATGAACACAGGGATTTTCAATTTCCTCTTTGGCGTGGTTCTCAGTGTCATCTTGGTCTACAGCAAATCGCATGGTAACATGCCCACCGCCATAGTGTAGACATAATTGAATCGTAGCCTGGTAAATAGATTTGTTTAAGAGTCTAGTACACTAGCAGGAGCTCAATGTATTTTCCAGTACTTGCTACTTAAGTTGGTTTACAATTTGAAGAGATCTGAATGGTAGGCTCGCTTGAATGATCGGCGGGGCTAGCTTGCGGGTTATGTCAGCTGTAATTCCGCCTAACTCGGGCCCTCCACCTCGGCACTAGGGATTGTAACGTGTCCCTTTGACCCCTTTCCCTCTGGAACTTCTTAAACCTCATGGGCGACCTGGATAACACTTCACCAGAATCTGATCAGTGAAAGTGTAACTCATGGTTTAATCATAGGCGTCGCTGATCGTCAGACCCTTATAATCTAATTACTGGCACCGCACTCCCTAACCCACTACTATGGTGACAGCTGCACCAACGGATCCTGGGCGATGGCGACTCGACGTTGACGGAGGTGTTCACCGCTGGCGATATCTCGATGAGGTCGCTTCCACTCAGCGTCTACAGTCTGCGGCTGAAAAATACTTCCTTGGACTACCCACAGTGCGTAATGCTTCAGGGAGTGTAACGTTTTGCTTACTTGTTCATTTGTTTTAGGGATTACCAGAACTCCCCACACCCCGTGGTTTCCAGGAATCAGCTCGCAATGGGTTCCGGTTTTATCAGGGTCTCCAGCTGGAGGATGGACATTGGGGCTGTGCATATGGCGGTCCTAGCTTCTTGCTCGCTGGTATAGTGATTGCTATGTACATTTCCGAGACCGAAATTCCCCCCCGAGTGGAAAGCTGAGATTATATGCTATTTGACGAGCACGGTTAATAAAGATGGTGGTTGGGGTTTGCATTCTGCCGGGGATTCGACAGTTTTTGCGACAACCCTCTACTATGTCACACTGCGAATCCTGGGTCTCGAGTCGACACATCCTTTAGCCAGCGAGGCTCGCAATCGCCTCCATGCCCTGGGTAAGTCTTAACTTGCATGTGCATAATACCAGATCTAAACTCATGACATGTGTAGGGGGCGCAGTTGGTATTCCCCAGTGGGGAAAAGTCTGGCTCGCATTACTGAATCTTTACAGCTGGAGCGGAGTGAATCCGATCCCCCCCTGAGTTTTGGTAAGTTTTTCTTTCAGATTATCGTCATTCTTCTGTTCTATTGTAACATGATATTGGGTTCAATATAGGCTGCTTCCTGATTGGGTTCCGTTCCATCCATGGCGTTGGTGGGTCCAATGCCGTGTGGTTTATCTTCCCGTTTCGTATCTTTATGCAAACAAAGTGACAAAACCTTTGAATCCATTCCTTGCTAGCCTCCGCAACGAGATCTATACACGATCATATGACGAGATCGCCTTCGGCCGATACCGGAACTTTGTGGCACCTGTTGATCTAAAAAAGCCAACATCCACGCTACTTCGCGGTGCCAATGTACTCCTACGTTTCTGGGAACAATACATTCGGCCAGATTGGATTGGCCAATGGGCTAATGAGCGAGTTTGCGCGTTAATACAGCGTGAGGATGAGAACACCTCCTATAACTGTTTAGCCCCAGTCAACAAAGCCTTTCACATGGTGGCTGTGTGGCATTCCGATGGTGCCAAAAGTGATCGTATGAAACGTCACCGCGACAAAATATCCCCTTATATATGGAAAGGAGAAAATGGGATGACATGCAGTGGCACTAATGGTGTCCAAGCCTGGGACACAGCATTCACCATCCAGGCTATGGTGGAGACCGGCCTAGGCAAAGAGTTGGAGTTCCGTTCATCATTAGAAAACGCCCTCCATTACTTAGATATCTCTCAACTGAGGGAAGACTTGGCTGATCCCTATCGCCAGCCGCGAAAGGGCGGTTGGCCATTTAGCACCAGGGACAATGGCTATGTTGTGTCTGATTGCGCGGCCGAGGGCCTCAAGGCTGTTCTGATGCTTCAAGAGCAGTGGCAAGTTTAATATTACATTTTTCGATAAACTTGGTTGCTAATTTTTCGCAGCGACTTTACCAAACTTATCTCTGATGAACGTCTCCAGGATTGCGTCGACACACTGTTGCTCATGCAAAACTCAGGCGGTGGATTCAGCAGTTATGAACGCACCCGCGCTAGCACCCTGCTTGAATATCTCAACGCTTCAGAGGTCTTTGACCGCATCATGGTTGAGTACTCGTATCCCGAATGCACCACGGCTGTAGTGACGGCCCTGGCGCTCTTTCGCCGCCATTTCCCTACCTATCGGTCTGCCGAAATAGATAGAGTCATTCGTCGCGCTATAAAGTATATCATCAGTGCACAACGTCCCGATGGGAGTTGGTATGGGTCATGGGGGGTGTGCTTCACCTACGCCTCACTCTTTGCAATGCAAAGTCTCGAGCTGGTTGATCAAACATGGCAAACGAGTGAGCATGTCCGCAAGAGCTGCAAGTTCCTACTCCGCACACAGAAAGAAGATGGAGGCTGGGGTGAACACCACACCTCTTGCGAGTTGGAAGAGTATATCCAGCATAAGCAGAGCCAGGTGGTGAATACAGCGTGGGCGTGCTTGGCATTAATGCATGCGCGGTATCCGTATAAGGAAGCCATTGAGAGAGGGCTTAAGGTAAGACGTATCTCTTCAGGGATTGAAATATATTCTGACGGCTGTTTTGAACTAGTTGATTATGAGTCGCCAGCAGTCAAACGGGGAGTGGCATCAGGAAGATGTGGAGGGGGTTTTCAATAACACATGGTGAGTTTGACATTGTGCTGATAAATATTCTGGTATCGGTGGCTGATTCTATTGGCACTAAGCATGATCGGATATCCAAACTACAAGTTCTATTTCACTTCATGGGCCTTGGGGAGGTATCATAACGTGTACCTTCCTATGCTGAAGGAAATGGAGGCTTATAGCTAAATCCACACCTGCTTCATATTGGAAAACAAGGAAAGGAAGAGCTTTAAGATTCCTATTTCAACTTCTCAACTCTCAACTCTGTGCACTTGCGTATCTAATTTTGTCTGTACCCAGTGGCCTGATTAGAATGACCCTATCCCAGGGGACCTGGTGCAGTGGGCCTGACTGCAAGTCGGTAAGAGTACTTAAGTATGGGCAGAATTAGACCCACTCGACCCCACTGCACTTTACTTTCTCGACCTAACTGTAAGTACTTTTTTTCGTACGATCAGACTTAAATTTTCACAAGTTCTAAGTTAACTAATTCCCTCTGTTGCGTTTTAATTTTAGCCTCTTTAATTACTTCTAGCACTCGTACAAGCTAATCCTAAATAGCTAGTTTTTAGAATTATTTTTGATAGGGTATAACCGGGAAGGCCTACTTTTAGCCAGTTAGCCCTATATTTTGATAGATCTAAAATCTACCCCTAAATATATATCTTTAACCTATAGACTATTCTCTCTTTCTCTAACTCTACTAATATAACTACCGAAATTCCTCGTATAACTAAAGAACTCTTTACTACTCTCTCCCTATATCTAATCTTAGGATATAAGCTATGTCAAATAGCCGTACAACCAAACCAGATTACTACTTATCTCTGATCTGCTCCTTATAAGTATAATATTCTCTTCTGTATTACAGAGGCTATCCAGCAGTATATTTTAGCCTAGTAGCCAGAGATCAGTAAGATATTTAATTACAGTAAAATAACTAATTATACAAATAATCTACCAGAGCGTCTAGAAGGTCTTCTGGTCTTCAATAATAGTATCCAGTACCGCCAGGACTCTAATTATCAGTATATATATCGTACGATCAAAGGTATCAAAGAACACTAGCAGATACACCACTACTAGCTGGCCCCCCAATCACCCGATCTCTCAATATAATCTAAGCTTAATCAAAATACTTAGAGGGTTACCTGTTAGCGGCTCTTCTATTAAGAGCCTTATTCAAACTTTTTTATAATTTAATTAGCCGTACAAATATAAAACCCGCTGCCAGAGACCTTATCAGTAGACATCCTATAAGACGGGCTCCACCGTCCCCGCGGGGCCTTCACTATGGCGATCGGCACCCCCCTGCCCCGCCGCGACCGCCGCCGCTCCTCCATCCCACGTCCATCAGGGATCGGGACGGATGGCACCGTTCGGTTCGTCTCGTGGCGCGCTACCGGACAGTAGGTATGACATCTGGGTAGCCCCGCTGGACGATCTGAAAACCCCCGTGTACCCGTCGGGATCGGGTCTCTGGACTAGTGATGCCGGGTGCACTGACCGCAGTATCAATGGTAGCACTGTCAAAGATATACTATAGATACAAGAGAGAGAGCCTACAAGATATACCTAAAGCTCGATTTATAGCGATGATATCTTCGGTCATTTGGTCCCCGCCGGCGTACTGAATTCGACTCTGTATGTAGACTAGAATCGTAGTGATATATATCTCCACATGTCTGCTGTCAGTCCCCCTGTTCGGCCCGATTTTCTCCTCTCTAGGATCAAAACTACCGACGGTAAAGGGTGATCAGACTCTCTCAATATTGATCTAATACTACTGAACTATTACAATCCCTCTCTAGGACCGAGGGAAGGGTATAATACTGATACAGTCCCCATCGGATTATTTATATAGAGAAGGGTACCCCCCGCTAACTAGAGGATCTCCATACTCCACGTGATCTATATAGCTTACCTACGACTGTATACCCCTGTGGAGCTCTGTCCTCGCCGGCGGTAGCGGCCGGCGACAACCCGGACCAGTTATAAGATACTATTCGCCCGACGGCTGCCGCCGGCCACAACGCAGACCAGTTATAAGATACTATTCGCCCGACGGCTGCCGCCGGCCACAACACAGACCAGTTATAAGATACTATTCGCCCGACGGCTGCCGCCGGCCACAACGCAGACCAACCAGGGCATATACTGTCTATTATCTATCCTTGGCAGACTCTAGTCTCTAGGCATAGAGGAAAAAGCAAAAAAAAAGAAAAGAAAAAAAGAAAAGGGGGGTGAGTTACAGCCGTAAGCCTATATATCAGGGGTTAGTTCCCTAATCCTGTTAATCTGAAGGCATTTTCCTCTCGCTTTATCTATACTATAACAGTACTACCCCTGTACTATTACCATCCGGAGTACAATACAATCCTCTGCCAGGCATGCGAGATTACAGTCCCAGGCCGTATAGCGCAGCGTCATCTCCGGGAAATACATCATATACGAGAGGCCCACAACCGCCGCCTACAACTCTGTACCGTACCTAGGGGTATTCTTCCCCGGCCTAATCATACCGACTTCCCGCCACTCCCCCATAGCAGCAATATAATTCCACAGCTCCCGGTATATCAGATCTGGTATTGTGGGACCTGTAGGATATATCTCAGCAGCAGCACCCGACGGGTCCGGGAGCACCACTACCAAAACCATCCTACAGTCTGCAGACCAGAACTATATCAGGTCTATGCCCAGCGCTGGTTCGCCAACAGCCGGTACTGCCGCTACTAGATTGTAGGGGTCTCTAGCGTACAGCCACAGGACCTTCCTACCTTACAACCAACCTCTACCACCGCTACTCCATCGATTCTACAGACAACCCGGCTTACTAGAAGCGGGACTGAGTTACCTCTTCCACTACCTGCCAACGTACAGCCACAGGACTCTCCTACCTTACAACCAACCTCTACCAACGCTACCCTGTCAATCCCACAGACGACCCAGCTTACTAGAAGAAGAACTGAGTCATTCCTTTCACTATCTGCCAACGAAGGACTAAACAGTGATAAAGATAGACCTAGGGTACCGATACAAGCCGATAGAGATATCCTACAAAACGACCAGACAGTACAAGAAGAATTACAGGAAGAGGAGGTTGGCGAGACTACAGCTGAAGGGTTTATCACTGCTGATCTCAACAGACAGGATAGTCCTCTACTACTACTATCGCCACTCCTAGACCCACAGTCACCAGAGCTACAGGACAGGGGCCCTAGAGCTATACTACTTGGCCAGCCAGACCAATTATTCACAATAGCCCCAAGATCTAGTATTAGCAGGGATACCCTACCCGGCCCATCTGGTTGTCCACAACCTATATCGCCTAGTTCGCCCCCGCCGTCGACTACACCTATAGAGAGTTTTATATCGACCTTCCCTATTTCTACTACTCCGAGCTGGATACAGACCACCCTTGTACAAGAGCACCAGGTACTCCAGGAGGAACAGAATCAGCTCCGGCCAGCTACTAGTCTAGGGGTATCTACTACTGCGCCAGCTACTGTAGAGAACTCGCTCTTTATCTTTGACGCCCAGCGCCAGCAACAGGATAATACCACTCCATGGTTACAGTTTACTGAATAGCCCCGATACTTTCACCAGCGCTCGCTGCTTCATCTGGCCCGTACAGCAGGCTCTCCCCATACCTCGCAAGTCCTGCCTGCACTACAGGAGCAATGGGGCGGTGGATCTCTATCTCCTTGTCCAGATAAGCGGGATAAGCAGCAACAGAAGTACGCCCGGCACAACCAGATTCTTACCATCATCGTCCACGCAATAGACCAGGTTTTGGATCGTGGCCGGGAGACGTTAGCGCAGACCTATATATCTGTCCAGGAGATCTTTGGCTGCCGGATCCCCCGCCAACGAACGCGGAGACGGCCCCTAGGACGGCTCCAGCCAGAGACCGAGCGACAGTACGTACAATATTGGAAACAGTTTCTCTGCTTTCTTATCCGTGCTATTTCCCTCCCTGAACCAGATCGGATCTCTCTGCTAGGGGTCTATCTAGACAAGGAGCAGTCCTACACACTCCAGATCCTATAGGAGACCCTGAACTGTTACCTACAATGCCCAGACTCGGGGCCCCTAGGTAGAGAAAAATCTCTTCCAGCGGCAGATTCAGGTTGCTAACCGGCCACAACGGCTTGCCTCTCTAGGGGTTACTGCAGATAAGGATCAGCGATTACTGTATAAATCCCTGAATACTACTACCATTCCTCAACCACAGCCAAGGACCCGATCTACTAGACTATCCCAGCGCCATAAGCATTCTCTGTCTACACAGAGCAACAGTTCCTACAGTGATGGGTCCTGTCTGTCTCCAGATCTACCGCCCTAATCTACAAGCTGGCCAGCGACCCTAGCGAAAGCAACCCCGCTTAGACTGTCCGCTGGCAGCAGAGCTACAGATCACACAGAAAATTATGGTAGTATATATCCCGACCTACTCTAGCATTAGATCTTTGCCTACCGATACCACTGATCCCACTAATACCACCGATCCCACCGATTCTACTGATCCTACTGATCCCACTGATCCTACCGATCCTACTAACCCAACTAGTCTCTCTGAAACAGATTCTAGCTCTTCATACTTACCTGACCCTGCTAGAACAGACTGTGATAATTCTAGCTCCTGGAGTAATAATCTCAACAGTGGTAATAGTGATTCTGAAGATACGGATAAAAATAAGAAGAAGAAGGACAGAGATAGGTTTCCGAATCCTGATGAGCTACTTCCAGATCTGGATAAATCAGATCAGGGATCTGACTCTAACTAAAGGGAGGCAGATCTAGAGAATCTTCCCTACAGTCAGTTTCCAACCTTGCCGGCAGACGCTGAGCAATGGGTTACCGAGGTAGTCTTCTCGCTCTGTGTTAGTTGCCTAACAACCGACGCAATCTATCGGCAGGGCGATAAATTTTATTCCCCACTGGTAGCCTTTACTGCAGTACTCGGGATCCGGCCCCAGAGTCTTAGTATCTACAAACCCTATCTCTACACTACAAAGCTAGCAGGGCTGGCCTAGGTCGCTCGGATTCTCCTGCTTAAGTATACGCTACCGCTGCAACCCTACCGCTTTATCAGTGATATCCCCAGCCGTATATCCTACCGATTCCACATCCAACGCGCTCAGGAGATTCAGGGTATATATGGCGCCCAAAATACGTTCTTCCCTCTGAATAATATCCTCGGTATGCTAGTAGTCAGCCTAGATATTATCCGTCGAGAGCCACGCCTAGGAACGATTCAATGGTCGCATAATCTACAGACAGTCTACCATCATCAACTACCAGATAGCGGCCTACATCTCTCCCAGCTACGTCAGTAGGTTCAGAGAGTTATTCAATCAGCTACTTCTCTACTGGAGTATAAGCTTCTTCTCGGCTACTAATCCCCGGTAAGGATAGAATCACTGGTAGATGCCCCGGTAGAGAGTCGGAGCGGGTTCTCCTTTCTGGATCTGCCGGTCAACCGGCTTCGAGCCACTGCCGGCCCGATCCTACAGCAGGCAGAGAACCCCCCCCAGAGGGTTTCCCCCCGCTACGCTATCATAAGCAGTAGGACCTACCGGCTGTACGGCGCTATCTAGGATCAGTACAGACGTTCCTGCAACAGCTTATGTTAGCTATCTAATTTTCCTGGGGTCAACCTAGTCGGGGTAGTGAGCTGGTGACAGTAAAATGGCGGAACAGTGCTACAGCACCGCGGAATCTGTATATCTATGAGGGGGAGATGGTGATCGTTACACACTATCATAAATGCCGGGGCCGAACTCAGCAGCAACACTGCTCTGCGCGATTCCTTCTACCATCTGTCAGCCAACTAGTACTTCTGTACCTGCTGCATATACGCCTATTAGCAGTAATGCTAGCTACCGTCGCTCGGGAGCACCACCCTAGACACCGCCGGCGGGCGCAGTGGGAGACATATAATCCTGTATCGATAAGCGATATAGGGGATCATCTAGGCCAGCAAGGCCAGGGAGGCAGTACCTATAATCTCTTTACCGCACCGGGGTCACAGGCCACAAGCAACCCACAGCGCTCAGCGTATAGGCGGCTACTGCAGCAGAGCAGCCGAGAGTTCTTTAGCACCTTGACCCTTAACGCTCTAACCTATCGTCATTTAATTATCGCGATTACTAAAAAGCATCTACAGACGCAGACCACAGTAGTAGACCTACACTCTGCCGCAGAGGCGTTGGACAACGTCTTTGCCGTGCAGGCCGGGCACAGCGCCTCCGTTAACCGCCAGATCTATGCTGTTGAGAGCGCTCAGCCACTTCAGCTACAGCCAGAGCTGCTGCAGCTCTACCGGCACACCTCTCATCTATAGCACCGGTTTATCCTGGCGCCGGTAGAGGATCTATACCCGGCTCCAGTCTCCAGATCACCGCCTATATCAAATCTTCCGCCAGAGCAGCTACACAATCTGTCAAAGGACATCCCGTGGGATAGCAACCGCCGACGTATCTCGCTCCCAGGGAATTTCTTCTATTTCTACCCCCGGTAGAATCTGCTGCTTTGTAGCAAGTGCCGCCGAGCGGTCACACAGATATCGGCCCAGGAGCACCTGCAGGCTCATCATGTATTTGGTATTATCCCAGCGCATACGAAAGTGGCCCTCGACAGTCTGAATCTGGAAAATCTACAGAATATCTACCTTATACTCCAGATTGCCCAGCCAGTAGCTCCGTTTCTAGAACTACCTGTGCTAGAAGCATAGGCCTGTATGGTCCCAGGCTGTACCCTAACCCGAACCTCTAAACGTAATATTCTGGGACATCTCCTAAAGGACCACCAGATTACACATATGCGAGACCGGAAGGAAAGTATAGCTGTATGTAAGGCTCAGGCACTGAATAATCATAGTTATCTCTTCCGGGTTACTTAACCGCTGGTCGTACCTTATTCTCAATCGATAATTCTACCTATACGCCAATCTATCATTTCTCTTCTCTCTTTCCTTAGACCTTCTTTTATATAGGAATCCTGATAACTGAGAGAGAAAGTAGTATAGCTAGGTAGGATCTCCTTCATAATTTACAGCAGAGTAATATTTCTGACAGCTGTCTAAGTATGCTAGTATAACTTACTTTTAGTCTGATCGATCTCTGGCTACTAGATTCAGTAATAGGCTACTAAGGACTATATTTTAGTTTGACAAAGTAGTCACCAACTGGCAAGATAGGCCTTAGTACAGAGGGTATACTTAAGGATAACTATAGGGGGTTATCCTTAAACTCCGGTCCAGCCAGGCGTCAGGTTCGGGTATATAATAGTTAAAGATTTGTATCAGCTATAAGTTACTCAGTTTTGGTCTGATTAATCCCTGGCTACTAGATTCAGTAATATATCACGGGATTCGAGTATACAGCACCCTAGACTTTCGACGTCGATCCGCACTCGAATCCCCTTCGAGCTACCTGCATATCGAGGCCTACCCGAACCCTAATATATTTAAGATCCTACAAGTATTCAGGATTCTTAATCTCTTTAAGAATCAGTCTATATATTAACTGTCTAATCTGATCTCAACTGTCCGATATCCTTGCCTAGTCACAGGTCTCTAGCCTGACAACTTAGTAACCATTACATAATAGGCCACTAAGGGCTATATTTTAGTTTTTTACTAGGTTGTCACCAACTGGCAAGATAGTCATTAACTGGTAAAATAGTTATCAACTGGTAAGATAGTTACCAACTAGCAATATAGTCACCAACTGGCAAGATAGGCTTCAGTATAGGGGGTATACTCAGGGGTGACTGCAGAGGGTCATCCTCAAACTTCGGTCCGGCTGGGCATCAGCTTCAGGGGTCATATAGTTAAAGACTTTATATTGGCTGTAACCTACTTAATTTTCGTCTGCTTAATCTTTAGTTAATTAATTCAGTAATGGGCCACTAAGGGCTATATTTTAGTTTAACTAAGTAATTACCAACTGGCAAAGTAATCACCAACTGGTAAAGTAATCACCAACTGGCAAGATAGTCAGCAACTAGTAAGATAGTCAGCAACTGGCAAGGTAGTCAGCAACTAGCAAGGTAGGCACCAACCGGTAAAGTAGTTATCAACTGGCAAGATAGTCAGCAACTGGCAAGGTAGGCACCAACTGATAAAGTAGTCATCAACTGGCAAGATAGGCTTCAGCGTAGGGTGGGTACTTAGGGGTAAATGCAGGGAGTCGTCCTCAAACTTCGGTCTGGCTGGGCATTAGGTTCGGGGGTTATATAATTAAAGACTTTATATTGGCTGTAACTTGCTTAATTTTAGTCTGATCGATCTCTGGTTACTAGATTCAGTAATAGGGTACTAAGGGCTATATATCATCAACTAGTAAGGTACTGACCAACTGGCAAGATAGGCTTTAGTGTAGGGGGTATACTCAGGGGTGACTGTAGGGGGTTATCCTCAAACTTCGGTCTGGCTGGGCATCAGGTTCGGGGGTCATATAGTTAAAGACTTTGTATAGGCTGTAGCTCGCTTAGTTTTAGTCTGATTGATTATTGGTTACTAGATTCAGTAATAGACTACTAAGGGCTATATTTTAGTTTTTGACCAAGTAATCACTAACTGGCAAGATAGGCATTACTACAGGGGGTATCCTTAGACGCAGCCTTAGGAGGTATCCTCCGGGGCTTATCCTCGGGGGTAGCCTTAGGGGTCGTAACCCTAAGCAGTTATCCTGCTAGGACCTAGGTTCGGGGGTTATATAGTTAAAGACCTTATATAGGCTGTAACTTGCTCAGTTTTGGTCTGATCGATCTCTGGTTACTAGATTCGGTAATAGGCCACTAAGGGCTATATTTTGGTTTTTGACTAAGTAATCACCAACTGGCAAGATAGGCATCACTACGGGGGGGTATCGTCAGAGGCGGCCTTAGGAGGTAGCCTCCAGGACTTATCCTCGGGCATAGCCTTAGGGGCAGCCTCCAGGGCAGTATCCCTAAGAAGCTATCCCGCTAGGGCCTAGGTTCGGGGGTTATATAGTTAAAGACCTTATATAGGCTGTAACTTGCTCAGTTTTGGTCTGATCGATCTCTGGTTACTAGATTCGGTAATAGACTACTAAGGGCTATATTTTGATTTTTGACCAAGTAATCACCAACTGGCAAGATAGGCATCACTACAGGGGGTATCCTCAGAGGCGGCCTTAGGAGGTAGCCTCCGGGACTTATCCTCGGGCATAGCCTTAGGGGCAGCCTCCAGGGCAGTATCCCTAAGAAGCTATCCCGCTGGGGCTGAGGTTTGGGGGTTGTATAGTTAAAGACCTTATATAGGCTGTAACTTTGCTGTTAGAGTACAGATTAAAATTCGGTTTATCTTTCTTTGATAAGACAAAAGGACGCTACTTTACTATACTATTAAATTATTCAATATCTAAGGGATTAATAATTTTTAGAATCTTAAATTGGAATTTAAATATCCGTTTTTTTATCTTTTAAAGCTATATAATGATTGCTATTATTTCTAATAGTCTAAAAAGACTTTCCTAGGGACTATAGGGTTATTATTAATAAAGATAATTAAGATATCAGGTTTCTTATTTAATTATATTTTAGCTAACTAGCAAATTTATGTTAGGACTTTGTATAGGCTGTAACTTTCTCAGTTTTAATCAGGTTAATCTTTGGCTACTAGATTCAGTAATAGGATGCTAGGGGCTATATTTTAATTTTTGACTAAGTAATTACCGGTAAGATAGGTATCACTACGGGGGGTATCCTTAGACGCAGCCTTAGGAGGTATCCTCCGGGGCTTACCCTCGGGGGTAGCCTTAGGGGTCGTAACCCTAAGCAGTTATCCTGCTGGGACCTAGGTTTGGGGGTTGTATAGTTAAAGACCTTATATAGGCTGTAACTTACTTAGCTTTAGTCTGATCAATCTCTAGTTACTAGATTCGGTAATAGAACGCTAGGGGCTATATTTTGATATTCGACTAAGTAACTACCAACTGGTAAGGTAATCACCAACTGGGAAGATAGGCATCACTACGGGGGGTATCTTTAGACGTAGCCTTAGGAGGTATCCTCTGTAACGGGCCCAGGCCCGTGGAGATATCACGTTGTGTCACGTGACCTTTTCCTGCAGGAAAACCAGGTAGAGGCTCACATAGATACTCTTCTTCAAGATTATTGTAAACAGCATGCAGGCCTAGCCCCAATTGAACAGTTGTCGCTACAGCCCTTCACATACAATAATCTTCCGATTCGATCGGTAATCGTAAAATCACCCGCGAAGTCCTAGAGGTCCTAGGCACACGAAGCACACGAAGAACGTACCCCTGAATCACCATCTATTTGATACCGATTCAACCACGAAAGCGAAAGCCCTAAAAGTCTTAGGCACACGAAGAACGTACCCCTGAATCACTCTCTATTCGATACCGATTCAACCACGAAAGCGAAAGTCCTAAAAAGTCTTAGGCATACGAAGAACGTACCCCTGAATCACCATCTATTCGATACCGATTCAAACACGAAGCGAAAGTCCTAGAAGAGAACATTCCTAGGCACAATAAGCGAAAGAATTATCCGTACAGACTATATTATCAATTCAATGATGAATACCAGGATAGACATGGATCCCCCTCGGGAGGAACCGCAACAACAAAACCCACTGGATGCGATCATGCAGCAACTAATACACATGCAAACGTCACATCACCAAGCCATTACACAGCAGGAAGAGCGTATGGAACGACTTGAGGCAGCCTTGGCAAAAGCTACTAAGGGGAATATACGAAAAGAGCCTGAAGATCTGGAGAAAGGACCCGATCTTTCAGCCGAGAGATCATCCCCGCCAGCACTACCGATCCAGGCTGAGCCCCCTCGCCGACCACGTACGCGATTTCCTGACCCCCCCCAATGTACGCTGGAGGTACATCAGAATGGCCAACCTGGAAGGCAGCAATGGTAAATAAGTTGACAGTTGATGGCGAAGCTATCGGATCAAGGAAAGAACAGTTTCTATATGTATTTTCCCGGCTGGAAAAGATGGCTTCAAAGAACACTGTTACCTATATGGAACACCGACGAGAGACAGCAGGTCCAGAGGACCTTTTGAATCACCTAGCGACACTGTATGGTGACCCAAACGCTCAGGCTAGAGCAGGAAGACGATTACAACAGTTGAAACAAGGGGAAGGAACATCATTCGCCAAGTTTCTACCACGACTAGAAAAGGAATTCGCAGACGCTGGTGCTATAGAATGGCCAGATCAGGTGAAGCAACAGATATTGCTAAGCTCGCTAAATACGACTATGAAGACGGCATTGTTCAGTCGTGGCATCCCAAATGACTTCCTAGGCCTGATCAATCGCCTACACGAGATC